ATAGATTTTATCCGTTGTCATTTTTACGAATACAGTGTTGCAAGAAAGCTGTCTTTGGTTATGTGTTTTCTGTAGAAATTGTGCAAGGTTATTGGGTTTTCTTATATTTTATTTGTTTAACAAAACACATAATATTTTATGAATAGCTATTTTTGGTTCACTTTTTGGGCCATTTATTTCCCATTTCTGTAGTGGTTCTGAGTTCCTTTTTTGGCTATCATTACCCCATGAAATGCTGAAAATGTCCGAATCAGGGAGTGTGATCAGAGTTAATTTATATTTACTAAGTAGCCTGGTCATCTCTTTACCCATTACTTTATTCTCCCCCGTTTTGACTTAATTCTTGCTCCTTACTTCTACTATTGTCGATCTTTTCGAGTCGAAATAGTCAATCCACGAGCCTATGCACTTTAGCACTTTTATTAATGTGCGGCGTAAGTTTTATGGAGTTAAGTACAGGTCAGTGGGTCTTTCCCTGTTATAACTCCTCTTTTAAATCTGCTATTTCCCACTAGTCGCAGACATTTCTATTTCCGGTGTGTGTATGTGATGTAAAGTGGCATTTACATCGAGCTCGCCACGCCAGCTGCAAGCATTCCTTAGCATTTTGCTGGACTTCGTCACGAAACATCTTCCTTTGATTAATTTGAAAGCGTTTCCACCCTAGGCACGATCGTAGGAGATGATAATGCTGAAACTGCCTCTGCATTGAGATGCTGGTTTTTTACTTCAAACGGAACTCGAAGTCCATAAACATGTGGTCTTGGGGATTATCAAATGTTTTTTTATTAAGCATGGGTGTTTTATCGTTTTGTGTTCGTAAAGTGTTTTCCTAAAGGGACAATTCTATTAAGTAAATAAAGTTGAAGGGCTGCTGCCACTCCCCGATTACAATACCGTAATTGGCCACTGGGAGGAGCGTGTATGTTTGTGCTGTTGTGACAACGCTTGCCCCTTCATTTGAATTGGCTTGAATCCGCACGTAGGCTTGTTTTGGATTGGGGGCGAATGAGCCACTGAGATGCTCTTCTCAGATGAGAAAAAAAATCAGAGCGCACACTAATTACTGACTTATTTTATGTCTTAGGTACAAATTCCCTCATCCGAAGACGAATCCTCCGTCCCTGAAGAGGGACCCTCACAGAGTTTCAATTTTGATGATATTCCCATATCCATGACGGGTTCTTGTTGTACACTCCAAGCAAAGGCGGCTCATCCCGTCTTCCTCTCACCTGCTCCCACTCATCTTAACTCTACCCATGCGAAACAACTAATTATCAAGTCTCAAACTCCAGAGGCAAGTATTTTCTGTTTTGGTTATTTCATTTTTGTGAGGTCCAGTGGTTTCTCATTATTTTTGCAGTAAAATTTAATTGAATACATTTTGGCTTCATGCGCGAATCACGGTGCTCTCTTCTAGTTTCAGTAGTCATAACAGGAAGGCCGCCTGCCTTGATTCAGATAATGATGATCCGGTTAACGCCTTATTTTTACATTTGGTTTTTCAGAGGTGTTTCACAAACTTTCAGCGTCTTAGCATCAGTTTAAACATCAATGGGGAATTATTATCTCCCGATGTATTCACTTTTTCAAAATTTTAGACAAGTTATCTAGGGTGCCTTGTCTCTTGCATTTTACTACTAATTCGTGTTCCTTATCATCCAGGCCACCGTGATCACACGTAAATTAAGTCGTTTGAAGTAAGGCAATAGTTTAAATGGGGGTACCGTCTTGTTCATCATACAGCTGATCAAGTTATCGTGGGTCTGTTTCCTCAAGTTTCAACCTACAATCGTTCCCTTAGTTAGTGTTTTTTGCAAATTACTGTTTTTGAAGTTAGTGGCTCAGAGCCATACACTATCTTTCCTAGGTGAAAATGCAGTATAAAGTGCGACATAGGCAGATGTTCTTCGCTCCACACCATGTTTTCTCCTTGGTGCAGCGTCATCGGTTTGCTTGGCTTGAAGCCCCAACGTGGATAATACGTTACCTTCTTTGAAACAATTTTTATCCCCACATCTTGGCAAAGTCATTTGCTTGAGCATTCGGATTAATTATTATGATGAGAGACTCGACGAAACTACTTGTGTGCGCACATTCTATGCAGTGAAAGAAAGCCTTATGTGTTACATCTACTGTTGTGTTCCCTTTTTCTCAGGAATTTCGTTTGTATTCGTAATTCACGATTTGGCTTTATGCTGCTTCGTTCCCTTTCACATCTTGTGCAGCGAAGACCTCCATCTGGGAAAGTTAATTTTGAATTTATGAGGTCTACGGTAATACAGTTTTATGCTTGGACATGTTCATTTTTGAGTTGGTGTGAAAGTTCGCATCAAAGGACACTAAGTTTCCCCTATCTTTTCTTCCAGTTTCTAATTCAAATTATGCTTCTTTTGAAATGAAATCGTTTTTTTTTTCTGTTTCATAGTCGACAAATGACTTCGCATTGCAGGAGGAAATTGAAAGTCTCAAGACGGTTCTTGAGTTGAAATCCGCAGAAGCGGCAGATCTGCGTCAAAAGACGATGCGACTGGAAGAGGAGGTGCATTTTATTATCCATTTTTAAGTTTTAAAAAATCAATTTTTGAGGCTATTTACACCTCTACCATCACCAAAATTGGATCCTTGCTAATTTCCTCCATCTTTACCTTTGGAGTTATTTCGTTCTTTTCTTGATAATTTATTCCTCCAATATTGGTCGGCCAGTTAAACCATTTATAGGGAACCTGAAAGTAATGCATGCTTGTATCTTCTTTTTGAGTGGAATAATTATAGTTTATTTGTTATCAACACTCTCATATTACTACTTTTAAACACTGTTGTAAAGAGCAACTTTTTATTATTCAGGCCAGCTGAAAAGTAGTCATCGTTCCACAATCAATTAAAGATGTATGAGTCCGTTGATTCCTTGATAAGAAGTTCGGTAAAAAGTCGAGTTAATGTAGCGAGACCCGCCCCTAGATTTAGCAACGTAAACTTACTCTCCCCAGATCTTGCTAGAATACTGTTTGAAAACACTTTTATCGGGACCGCTGTAAGGTAAACCCACAATGCTAAGACATTTTTGATGCCTTACCTGTTATTCATATCCGATTGTAAAACATGTCTGAAATTCATTTTTATGTCGCATAGCTTAGCTTGGAATTGCCGGTTTTTTGTTTTTGTGTAGATCAAAGAATCACTGTCGTTGTATCAACAAACGTACCCTCTATTCTGCATGCTCAACACTTACTCCCCCGTGTGCTAGGTTAAGGAGAGATAAATTGTCACATCAGGAGGATAACGAATGCTTCAAATTCTCACAAAGTTTTAGTTTTTACTGGCATGCTTTCCTCCATTCCAGGTTCCTGGATAAAACATTTAGTCGAGAAATTGCTGTATAGGCAACTTTTTATGTACCCTTTTTATTTATACAATCTAAATAACATTTTTGTTCTATTTGTAGCGGATAGAAATCCTTCTGCTCATGTTTAAACAGTGGGTGTTAGATTAAATCTCTACTACTATCGAACAATCGTACATGCTTTTGGAAAATTTGTCTAAAATTTTGGTTTTAGACTTTTATAAACTGCTTACTTTCACTTTAGCTGACAGCCGTAAAAGAATTAAACAAAGAAATCAAGGAGTTGCAAAATCGGAACGAAAATCTGGAGGCCCTTCTGGAGTTGCGTGCTGAGAGTCAGAAGTAAGTTTTGCTCTTGTTTTCGGTCTGTCGTGCTCCCGTCTCCGTGTACATTCTTTCTCAACATCTACTGGTGCACTTATAATTCCTCATCTAATGCATGGAAACTGGAACGGTTGACTCTGAAAATTTCTTCACTTCGTTTTGTTTCATCAGACCTTTGTGCTTCGTGCGTTTTGATTAGGCTCTGTGGTGTTTTGACTTGTCTCCTCGAGGAATCCTGTGGGGATTCTGCCTTTTCTCGACCCAATAATTTGCTAGTCACTCATTTCCCTATTCTTAATTTATCTTTATTCATTCCTCTTACGGGTTGTTTGAATTCCCTTTGAAAGATTTTATTCTAGCTTTTGAATTTCCCTTCAATAATAAGAAAGTGAGCTCTAATTTACTTTTGAAATCCTTTTTTAAGCATGCAATTCTCTCTTTTATCCTGGTTTAGTATGAACTATCCCAAATGGCGCAACTGTCGAAATATTTGGGGCCAATTTAGGTGCAGTTCGTGCTCTTATTTCACAGACAAAATCTGCTTCATCTTGGGAACTTTGCGAAAATTATTCAGATTTTATATGTTCTGACTTTAATCTCCGATCCTTCCATCATAAATTAGATCCGCATCCATCTACTATCTTCACTATAACTATTATTTCGAGGGTTATGATTCCAATGTTCTTATTCCATTGCATAGGTAGAGATTTTCGAGCCAGATAATTATATCGGTTCTGTGTTCTCGTTCCTGGAAATTTCAGGTCAATGCTCATTGCGACAGGGTAGCAATTGCCGTCGTGCCCCCAATGAGGGCATCCATGTATTTTACTATCTCAAATTTTATTCCGCTATATGAAGGGCGGCTAGTCAATCCGTCTACCGGCCAAACGTGTTTTTTTACTGCGGCATTGGCTTGACAACAACTTTAGGTTTTGAGACACATAAGTTAGTACAGCTCCTCTGTTTCGCCCGAGCCCAACGTGGGCTTAACTTATGAATGATGGTTAGGAGGAGTTTTTATGTCAAAGTTGATGGAATTGAACGTTGGAAGGGAAAAGGAAATGATACTGCTCCTTCTAAAGTTTCATCAGAATCATTCGGCTATCATTATGCGTTTAAATTTGCTATCTTCCTTTCAAAGGAAACAGTTTTGTGATATTATTAAATAAATTCTCTTGATAATTACTAAACATCATCTATGATTGTTGTACTTATCCTGGATCATTAATGTTTTTATTAGCATTTTGGCTCGGTTACGGTCAATTTAATGCCGTCTTGTTCAATGGTTGTGCTCTAAGTGCGGCTGTCGGAGTTGTATCGGTTTTTCGTCTGTACCTCGAAAGCAGTTAAAGGTGTCGCTTAAATTAGTTTTTTCCTATCGATATGTACCTTAAATCAACACCCAGGGACGTGCTATCATCGGTTTCCATCTCTGCAGCTGATTTGCGTAGCGCTTAACGGCAGCCTTGTGCATTAGTCCGCTACACAACCGCTTTGCACAGGAGGGCAAAGCGTACCTACTTGCATGGGTTTAGTAAAATTTCATTTTGTGTTTCAGACAATTGCAAGACCGTGTGCAAAGCATGTTCCATAACCTGGAGAAGGCGGTGCGGGACAAGAAGAAGCTCAAAACAGAATGCGAATCTCTTCGATTCAAACTGCTTGATGCTCACCATAAGATTGACCAACTGAATGCAGCGAACGCCAGTGAAGATGATAGCTTTGACATGACTGACTCCCTCTACATGTCCAGGTTAAATCCTCATCACTTTTCTACTCATCCTCTTCTCATCGAAGAATTTGGTGATCCATCCATTTTATCACCTAGATCGGTGTACTCTGATCCTCGTGTGAATAATCCCGTGGCAAGCGGTCGAAGTCCGCGACCAATTTCAGGGACGCCGAAGTCTCCCGTTGACGCAGACGATCGCCTGCCTGCAGGCTCCTTCATCTCATTGGACACCCGCCCTGCCAGCAGTTCCATGCGGCTGCGTCGAGGATTACAGCATGATCGTAGCAAGAGACGCACTTTGGCCACCTCTGCAGAACTAGAGCACCACACTCGACACTGAAGTTAACCACCGCGCACACCGTGTATATAGGGGCTTGCATCATAAGAACTTGCTTGAATTTGATGTCGCATCCGTTTTCGCCTATTAATTATTGCATTTGGAATAAAGCCTTATTCCCTCCCGCTGAAATTTGGCGCTGTAATTGGAACCCTTTTTATGTGAATTATTATGTGATCTTAAGAAGGTGCCATAGTTTGCTGTTTCTAACAGTAATGGATTGTAGTATTGCGGACATCAAATTGCCAAAAAATACACATGCTTCAAAAGCATCAGAATCTCGTTTTTATCTTGAAACGTCTTCTTTGTTGGTTCAGCTGTGTTTGATAACTGCGCACACAAGTTATTTATTCCAGCGTAATAACTATCATGGCGGACGAGACGCTGTTTTGGGAATATTCTTAATCGCGCGAATTTAGCATAATATTAGATGAAAAGTTCGGAGGGTTCAAATCTTGGGGGAACCAGGATTCGGTCAGTCAGGGCCGGATGTGCTCCACTGTCTGATCCAGATTTGGGCCGTGCGGAGATGTGAGATGACACAAGCGGTTCAACTTGCTGCGTGTTGAGTTTTCTCCCGCCTATGTTAACCGTCACGTGGAGCATCACAAGATAATCTTCCTTCGGCCGTCGCGTCTGCACTTGATTTCATGCTCAATTTTCAAATGGATGGCGTCGGTTATCTGTCTTTTCTGGGAAGTGGCTGTTGTGTCAGCGCTTCGGCTCCATTCATACCGATTAACTAGGATTCAGGTTGCATCAGCTGCTACAACTTTCCCACCATTATGAATTCACATATGTGCGTTGAGTCTTTTTGAGTTCATGGGCTTGCTGTCAAAGTGCCATATTTCTTACTAGTTTGCTTGATTCTTAAGATTTTGTGCACAAGTGTTAATTTACGCACACAAGCAAAAATGCTCATTGATTGCTCACGTGCATTTGCTTATGATGTTACGTTGGATTTACCGTTTGAGTTGGAGCAAGTTTTGCAGCGTCTGTGCGCATTCAAATGAAACAGTGCGTTCCAGTGGAGAAAAGAAAATCATCGACAGTTCAATTCGGAGAATGGGCTGTAATTTTCAAATAGGTGCATTAGTGCAGAGCTCCGTATGCAGAGTATACACCTGTATACTGAAAGCGACGTAAATACACATTTAAAACACCTCCAGTAGTCCCAGGTCACTGCATGCATTTACCCATGGCCCCGTGCCCAGTTTTTTCTTCGTTGGAACACTGTATTGCCCCGAGAGTTACTAAGATTAAAGTGTTGTTTGCATAGTCCATTAACTTGAACACACAAAAGCCTTAAATGGCTTACGAGAAAAATTTTAAGCGGGGTTTCGCCATCAGATAGGAAGCAGTGGCAGCTAAGATGCAAAAAGCATCACCAACCTACTTAGGTTTCATCACGCTTTGTGAAAAAAAAGAAACAATAACCCTTGTAGCGAGTCGCAAATGTAACGATTTAAAAGTAACGTCTAATCATCACCAGTCATAAACAGCGGATGGTACCTATGCCAGTTGACCACCTCTTTCAATTCTCTCATTGCAGGTCAACAAGCCGCTAATGAAGCGCCTCAAATTGAGAATGGTTTCCACTCATTCATCCACGCCCTGAATCTGTGATTCAGGAGGTCCGCCAAGATAAGGCCCGTTCACCTTTTGAGGGCGCACAAATCTCTGAGCTACTGTACAATCCACCGACCAGTTTTTGCTTGCCCCTTGCAATATTACCCGGTACGATTTCATAGCAAGCTTCACTTGATCTGCCGCTAATTGCACGGATTGAAGTCAAGCTTCTCCAAGTGCGGGCCGCACTTCGGTTTTCGCCTCTGCCTAATGAGATATACACCCATGGTAATTATGGTGCAAGAATGATAAAATTGAGTTTGCTCTACCCGTATACTTTCCGTGATTACCACCACATCGTCAAAAGTGTCATTCAACCCACAGCCATAACTCTACTAGTAGAAGTTATGCTATTGCTTAATATTACATTGAAAAGCATTACCTTTGTCGAATCTTTGATGTGAGTAGTGGACTAATACAACAACACCTCACGATAGATTGGTTAGGCAGAATGTATGGAAGTTTTTTTGGCAGTAGCACAACTGCCTACAAGGAGTAAAGCTGACAATCTGTGCATCACTCACAGTTAATCCGTTTATGTGTTCGTACCTGTAAACACGTCTGCACATAACGACTCATTCACAACTTCCTACTTTGGTAGGCTTCACGCCCTATGGATGTGGGTGGATTTCAGCATCGTCTTCACGCCACCAGTTTTGGTACCACTATTGGATTATGTGGCAGTAGCACTAGACACTTAGTCAAGTATTTCAGTCACCACATAAACAACATACCAATGTAAATTGTGGGTGGTAGCTAGGCTTTTCGACGGCACATTAGGTCATGCCATGTACAGGCGACTGGACTAAGTATTACGCAATCCGTTTTCAAGAATGCAACCGTGCTGCCATATAGTATTCTATGGAGAATCATCACTATGCTTTTCACGGGACCTTTAAATGCCCATTCCCTAGTTTTTGCAAAATTACATTTCTTGATTTGAGTGAAGTATTTCTGATGAAATTTTAACTTCTTCGAGTAAGCGATGGAAGTTGAATAGAATTTCAGTGAGCTGTCGTCCAGGCTTAATGTAGATCATTCCAACAAAAAGTGCTTTAAATTCCGGAATAAGTAAATCTCGCTAGTCTTTCATTAATTTAATCCGAAATTGAAAGAAGTTACTTTGTGTTTGTTATCTGGTGTCTCCAGCTGAGAAAAGTATGCATTATTATTAGATGAGACGTGAGAAGAAAGCGTAAAGTGGACGTTTGTGTCACGTAGTGGCACACGCATACACATTCAGGCACACACTTGACACACCTTACTATAACAATATCGTGTGGCATCGCTCAGCCAATACTGTGAGTGCGTGTACCTCAACATTTACCTAACAGTGGCAACACATTTGCATTGCAATTGGCTCCACAACCGGTATATTCACTGAAGCCTGGAGGTGTTTTGTGAGGGTTGCTAAGGCAATTCACATCAGAGGTGTCTGATCAGAGTAAAACATGAGCTTTGACGAGGAGCAACTTGATGATCTTTATGCGGCCTTTCCTGACCTCCGAACCCATGGGGCCATCTCGTCGGATGATATTAGACCTGCACTTGAAAAACTTGGCTGTCCCATCGCCGGTCACGAGCTCAGAGAAATTCAGGGGGGACGAGGGCGAGGAGGTGGTCTTTGTGATATTAATGAATTGCACAAAATCTACAGGAAGGCTAAATTTCTGAAAATCGACTCAAAGAGAATCCTTAAGGACGCTATTCTCAAAGGTGTACAAGAAGCAAAGGTAATGTGACTATTACACCACTGCAGTGGTTTGAATTTCAATTTATCGCATGAAAAATCTGTTAAATATTTATTTGTTATTTTGTCCCACTGCGCCTTTTTAATTCACGCTACATCACCACCAGAATCGAAACTTGCATGATGCGAAACAAGAAATCAGGATACGAAAACAGGTTGATAAGAATATTTAATAAGACAATATTAATTCTTTTTTGAATTCGAATTTATGTTTGGTGGCAGAAATCTGTTTTGTAAAAATCTTAAAGCAGAGGAACGTAATGTGAGCCTCTTTAAATGTCTCTACCATTAAATGGCCCTTAAATGCACCACTGCTTTGTTCACTATCCTTCCTCTCTGCTTTAGCTACATTTAAACCGGTGCTAATTCCCCTCCCTCAAATGCACACCAGTATTAATCAAAGATATCTATCAGGATCAAATGTTAAATGTTAGGGATAATACTTTATTCTTCAGGCACCATTATAAAAGTAAAGTCTGGTGGGAAAGAGTGAAAGTGAGTTGCAAAGACCGAGCCAGATGCGGTTTGAAAGATCCAGATGAACAATTATATTTCCTATTCCACTTGTCCTCAAGGTCACACTCTTCGCTTCCAAGACAATACTGCTTATTACAACTGATCCAATAAGGGCGTATGGTCGTTCTGGTAGAGCAGCGGTAGACAGTTGGGCTACTTAACTAAGGATCTGATGAGAGCCCTTCTTACGTACAAGTCATCCATTTAATCTTAGGATGTTTATTTTAATTTTTTTTGCACTACGATAAACCATCAAGTTGTTTGCATTGCTCCTACATCAAACAATCAGCTTCCAAGCAAGTTCATTGTTATTCACGTGATATTTACTTGGATTATGTGATGATTGGGTCCTCACGGCCAAGCACTGTTACCTCATTTCAGCGTTGTCAATTCAGAAAACCTTCATGTTGTTTTCAGTAAACAGCAGAGCCACATGTGTGAACTTTTGGACTTATTATTATTTGCCTTTGTCTCATTCACCAATAACGTGGGCACTAGCTCAATGTCTTGACAGGCTCATCTAAAACCTTAATACCATGACAAAAGCTTTTTACCCCTGCATGTGCACGCGGCGTTGCAGTAGAAAAGTGCACATTGGAAAAGTACCTTGAATATATCAACCTCCATAAACGATAAAGCGATCTATTTTAAAAACAGTGTGGTAAAAATATTTGCTGTAATAAATAGTAGTCCAAAGACTCTGTTTGACAGTGTTAAGGGGAATTTGAGATCAAAAAGTACAATTAAAGCGCTTAACTACTATGGCAATTCAGAAAGTAGGCACTCAAGTCAGCTCGCAGATTGTGGCATTGTTCTGTTGAATTTAAGCATTATAACGGGATTTGGTAAATACTTGCCACATGCTAGACCTATGACACGGAAGTGGGTGGAAAGCACACAGTGACGAAGTCAGAGGAGAAGGCTTTTGCGAATTGGATAAACAAGCATCTCCAGGGTGATCCCGATTGCGAGGCTCTGGGTCTCATTCCTATCAATCCAGATGTCGATGGACAACTCTACGAGCGCTGCAAGAATGGCATTATCCTTGCAAAAATGATCAACGTTGCGGTTCCCAACACCATTGACGATCGCACCCTTGAGAAAGGTGAATCCCTCAAGGCCATTTTCAAGGTCAGGCAAAAGTCAAATGCACCCATCTACTCCAAATTCGCATTCTTTTCCATAGGTTTTACACAGGTTATAAATGATAGGAGCATTAATTCTTTAAATAATAAATATGTCTATTTATTAGCAGTCATTTCAGAGGGTGCGACGTGATAAAAATGCATAAGTTGGGACCTTTTGTGCGGATTTGCTTACTGATTCTCAGTAACAGTTTTATAAAACTAAATTTCTGGTGAGGCACTTCGTGGTAGATCATTGTATGAAAGCTAACCCAAATAATGCGCAATTGTTTAAGGTTACCTATTCATGCTGAATGTCTATGAATCATATGCCCTCCGTCTGCAGAGAAATGAAAACTTGACATTGGTGGTGAATTCTGCAGCAGCAATTGGTTGCTGTATGGTCAACATTGGCCCAGAGGATATCTCGGAGGCTCGAAGACACCTATTGTGTGGTCTCATCTGGCAACTAATTCGTAAGGCCATTGTGGATACTATCACATTGGCACAGCACAGCGAATTGGCTTCTCTCCTTTCATCGGGAGAAACTTTGGAGCAGTTGGCAGCTCTCAAGCCCGAGGAGCTGCTCATGCTATGGGTAAACTACCATCTTACTAACGCTAACAGCGTTCGGCGCCTCACCAACTTTACTACCGATCTCTGCGACTCGGAGATATACGCCACTCTTATGGAGCAGATTACTCCACTGGATCTCCGTTCACAGCTAATCAGCTCGAAAGTCATTTTGGAGGAGCCCTCCCTCGAGAAGCGTGCTTATATGGTAATGGAGAATGCAAGATTATTAGACGCAGGAACTCTGCTGGTCCCAGAAGACATTTACACAGCCAAACCCGGAAGTCACAGTGACAAGCTGAACCTTGGTTTCATTGCAACTCTATTCAACATGTACCCAGGTTTGGAGACTCCTGAAGATCTCAACATTCAGCCAGAGACTCTAGAAGAGAAGACCTATCGAAACTGGATGAACTCCATGGGTGTGTCGCCAATCGTTAGCAACCTTTACAACAACCTTAACGACGGACTCGTACTGCTTCAATTGATTGACATTATAAGGCCGGGTACAGTTGACTGGAAGCAAGTGACGACAAACTTTGACCCCAAAAGGGAACTCTTTCAGAAACAGACCAACTGCGTTCTTGTGATCGATTACTCAAAGGTGATTGGCATTAAAGTGGTCAACATTAGCGGTGAAAACATTCGCGAAGGAGCGACCAAACAAATCCTCGGCCTCTGCTTCCAATTCATGAGGGCTTATACTCATAAGCTGCTTAAGCAGGTAGGTTAAAGCTTGTTTCTCTGTGGTATTACAGAGAGCAAATCTTATTCAATTTACCTTTTGAATGGCGAACTCAATGAATTCCTTTTCAATATCTGCTGAAAAGTAGTGCTCCCATTTTCGATTAAGCAGATGAAGTGCCCAGGCTTATTTTGGAAGTAAATGAACCCTAAGCGCTGGTTAAGGAGCCGATTGGAAACTTTTACTCTAGTAAAATCGCTTGAGTACCAACCAAATGATACATCAACAAAAGCGTAGGGTGGTGATAGAAAGCATCCTTCATGATCGACGATTGCGCTTACATGCAAATGTGCGGTGTGCATACGCAGTGCAAATCATTTTTTCATAAAATTATCACACGGAAGCAAAAAATGGTATCATCCATTGCTATGAATGGTTCACTTCTTTCGCAATAGTCAACACAGATAAAGTACCGAGTTCACCCGAGAGGTTTCGCAATGTGCATTTTTTGACAAAATAGGCTGAAATGCTGTTTACCAAGTTCGCTAGGGAGCATTTCGCTCAAAAAGCAGGTCTACTTTAATGAAACACTGTATGCGATTGTACTTTGTTCCTCCTGTGTTAGTTCATTGGCGTTTTTACCCCTATAGAGCCTCGTTCCGAGGAAGCATGACAAGGCGTTTTACGGATTTTTAATGGTGATATAAAGCTAAGAGCAAAATCTTCGTCTTGCTATATTTTAAGACGATAGAAACAAATGAAACGATGTTTGTTTATATCTCAGAAAATGGGCAGAATCGGTAAATTCCTCATTTTGATTGCTTACTGTTCCACATTCCGTTACCAATCCTATTACAATTCATCGCTTCAAGCAATAATTTAACCGTATTTGCTAGATAGATAAGATATGCTAGTTTAGAAGGATATTGCTTTGCTGATGAGGCTCAAAGACAGAGTATTAGGCTGTAAACCTGCCACCATGGCTAATGGTTAATACTTTATGATTAAAAAGGCAAGCGGAGTAGGCAGCAATGCGCCAATCGAAGACTCGGACATTCTGACATGGGTGAACGACCGACTGAAGGAAGTGGGTGAGCCACCAATAAGCGGTTTCCGAGATAACGCGCTTTCCAACTCACGTCCGATTGTGGCGGTGCTCGAGAGCATCTCAAAGAAGGGTGCGTCGCGCAATATGCTTACCGATGACAACTTTGCCAACGCCGTCTACGCCCTCTCCTCCTGTCGCAAGGCTGGGGCTCGTGTCTACGCCCTGCCCGAACACATCTGCACTTGCAATCCGAAGATGATTATCACCATTTTCGCCTGCCTTATTGTCCTCTCTTACAGCCTCAAAGTCGTTCCTAACCAATGAGAAGATCCCTACGGTGCAGAATCCACATGCTTCTCTTTCCTGGGTTCCATTTTTGCCTTCTGACGTCTTTTCCAGCATTGGCTTTATCACTGTGTGGTGCGAATATTTGTGGAGCACCTTGCAAATGAATACCAATGCGTTATTTTTCCTCCACATACATGATATTGCTGCCACTAAGTATTAATTTGAAGTAACTGACATCTGCTTACAAGGGCTACGATTCTAAAGCTGTGGCGTTATTACTACGGTTAGAAGTAAACATGGAGGAACGCATTAGCCAATTCGATCATTAACTAACCAGGATACGTTCACTTCCAGGTCATAAGTATATATTAAGAAATAGATAAGCTTAACCTATTTTTTTTAATTAATCATTTTTGTACCATGTGTCAAAGATCAGCAGCGTGGGTAGGGACGACGGTCAAAAGCAAGGAATCGACATTAAATTGGTCTGATTCGGAAAGAACTAATATTCAGACTATTTCGACGCTGTCCAAAAACGCTTGATATTTTAGAATCAGACTTTGAGACCGGTGTAAACAGTGCACTTTGTGTTTTAGGCGTAAGATTGCATAAATTTTGTACCAAGGTCTCAGTCCATTAACTAGACTGAGTTTCACAAATTTCATTCAAACGGGTACAGGCTGATAACTTTTGGTTTCGAAATGGAGCATGAAGCTACCTAAATGAGGCAAGTCCTGACAATGAAGCAGCAGTAAATGTGTCTTTTTGCGCTTACCGATTTGATTTAAGATTGCGAAAAATTTATGGAAGGATTATGAACTGTGCTTCATTTCAAAAGGGACCATAAAACTTGGTTGCAATGGGTTTTCTTTAATTACTCATCCCTGACAAAATGCTTTCTTCATTTTACCAATTGAGTCGATGGGTAGCTTTATGGACACATTTTGAGAATTTAAAATGCAAAATGTTTGAAAATGTCTCGGTGGATGACGCTAATTTTGCCAAAAAATGATGGTTTGGAACTAAATCTAGCCAAGCCAGTCGATGACAGGGACTCTAGGCGGCAATGAAGTTTGAATAGCAACTCTCAGGCGGAGTTGCGGCTGACAGAGTGAAAGGCAGAAACAAAGTCATTTCGCATCGCACACACTTTGCATTCATGAGTCATCGTTCAAATGCAGATTCTCAAATGTCGTCAGCCTAATGTCAGAAATTTGCATATATGGAGTCGAATGGTTAGAGTTGAGACCTTACAGAAGGCTAAATGAGTTGAGACCTGAGTCCCGGTGAGCGCAGCAACCAAAAAAAATACTCGAGTATTACCTATTTGGGTTAGCAAAAGAAGCTTGTGGTGATTTGGGTAAAAAGTGAGTCGTACAAAGTTTCCTTGATGTATCTCGTTTATAGACCATTCTTTTAGCAAAATTACCCATAAACTCTCTTGTAAGGTTAACTTCAGTCAGCCAATAGCGGTGAAAGGGATGTGCACTAGTTCGTGCGACCCAATCACGGGCCTATGCGCCACAGTCTAACCGATAATTAACCAATGGATAAGCAATTTATGATAAAGCTTTGAAGGATGCTTTCAATGCAATGTTTTCATGTTCAAAGGTAGCTCGTGCAGAGTAATTTTTGGTTCAATCAGAGCGAAGGGTACTTATAAAACTCGGGGTCTAAATTGTTTTATAGTAATCAAGAATAGAAATCAGCCATTTTTCCTCTCAACCTAATGGCTTTCTAGCTGAAATACTCACTCTCCGTTGACACATAAATCCCCTGTGTAAAGCATTATAATATATTTGAAATCGGGTCCTGTTGAGTCACATGGACCAATGGAGACGATCAAGCATTATAAATTGGTTAAAAATCTTACTTGAATTGTGTAGTGCAACTAGTGCCCATTTATGGTTCTATAAATTGAAGAACCTCCACAACAACGTCATACCTGTAATGTGGTGTGTGATTATGCAAATCGCTTGAGGCAGCAGTCAAAAATAAGGGTGGAGTGAAACTGCAGTAAGTTTATACTGAGTGTCTATCTATCCATCAGCATATCCATATACCTATTTATCTATCTATCACTTCATCCATCCAGCCGTATGCGTATTTATCCACCCATATATCCACCCGTCTCTCCCTTTATCCATCATTCCACCTGTCTATTCATCTATCTATCTATCCAACTCCCTTCTTAGGTCGATATTTGTAGGCTCTTGAAACGGCAATCTATCGGAGCATCCCACTAAACTCCGAATGACACGGCCGTGTGCCCTTTTTCGCTTCCCTCATCCAAATGTGGATGTGATATAAATTTACGAATAGAGAGACACAAATTCCAGCTAGAATTTAATGAATAGCGAGTTCTGCCCAATATCTTTGAGTGTGATAACTTATGAACTGCCACAAATCGGTATCGCAGCAATTCATGCAAGATAAAATTGAAATGACATTATTTGGTTGAACAGCCCCACACAAAAAGGTAGGTGTCAGTAATACAAAAGGAGAAAATAAGCCAGCAAATTTAAATGAATTAACTCAAAAGCTAATATGGGAGTTAAATTAGCAAGGATAAATAGATTTCAATCTGTTGTGCCGTGACAGGCGGCGTGCATGAACTGTTTGATGGGAATCTATTATTATCTTCAACCATTACCTACTTTACATTTAAGGTATTTTCGAATCTAAAGGGTCATGTTCAATACATATTTTTGGAGGTCACTTTAAGTATTATGAAGGGACACACGTTCACTTTTCATACCATGGACACTTACATCGCGACCATGAGATGTATCAGTAAAAGGAAATATTGATGAAGAGAACTCTCATAGATTCGGCTAAATCATGAATTGTTGAAATTGTGAGTTCGTAGTCAAACCAATTTTTACAGTATGTACGTGAGCGTTACATGTAAAAATAGATACGAATAAAGCCCAATCAATTAGACGTGCAGAAAAGCTCGTTTTCACGTGAGAGTGGTGCAATGTTTACCATAGCGCTTTGAATAACTAAAACATTTCCACATTTTTAATGAAAAAACATTCCAAACCGAAAATTCGACTGTGAGTTCAGTGTGCGATTTAAAAAATCGCCAGAAAGGTATTTAAGTACCTCTTAAGAGCACACTAAGTACGAAGGACAAGTGAACCTGCGCACACACCGGAGGTCAGATGCGCGTCTATGCTCGCAACCGACCCGGCAAATCGATTGAAAGGGGGAAGAAGTCGTTTGGCTGACTAAGGTCGAGACGCGCGAAAACGTTAGGAAGTCGTAGGTGACCTACAATTGCGCAGCAGTGAATCACAACATCGTAGCACAGTAGATGCGCTGGTTGAGGTCACCTGAGACGACCATAGACGCTGGCGAGCAGCCACCTACTTAGCATTTTACGATGTGTTGTTCGGTGGAATCCCACGAGCTGTCGGAGATGATTGCGGATCTCTCGGAATCCTTTCCCACCCTGTACCGCGGCTGGTTGCCCCGCAGTCAGGTGCGTGCAGCACTAGAAAGGGTCGGCTTCGCTCTCTCCGGTGGCGAATTCAGATGCCTAGTCGAGGAGACGTTTATGCGACCTGGATGCGACCATATCTGTGTGGCTACGTTGATGGAAATTATTAGAATGCTACAGGCAAATCAGGAGAAACAGCAGTTGATTGAAAAGAAGAGGGAGCTCAGAGACCGAGCTGATTTAAGAGTAAGTTGGGTCACTCATTCCAGATAAATACAGCATTTCAGTCCAATTCCCTCAAATTTTGTAAACACGCCCATGCATCTAAATCTAGCTTAAAAACCGAATGATTATGCTTATGATTTGCTTCTTGATCAAATCATTGAGAATTTTGACTTGCAAATCTCAAACATCCTGCGACTAATATATGCCACAGCACCGTGGTGGTTTTAAGGGGGTTTTTATTTCTTTACTAATAGGTATACATGCTTAGGATGCTAACATACTACTCCTCCCTATTAATTAGCCCAAAAGAAATTCTACCGAGACATTGGGGTATTTGTTTTGTTCGGCTAAACAGAACACTCTTTTACTGATGTACATTCGGCACATCTTAACCGTTTTATGGTCTATTACAACGAGGCGAATCTACTTCATAAGCAACTTGAAAGACTCAATGACGTTTGCAGTGAGTAACCTAAATGTGTAGGTTATTTGCAAATAAATTTTCTTGATACTGAGTGTAGACCTGGGGCTATGGTTTTGTGTTGTGCCATTCGTGGACTCTGTTTCAAAATATAAATCCTTCAATATATCACTAAAGCCAAAGGATGACGTTACAGCAACCCACTGAACTCAATGTTTATACAGTCGTCAAATCTGATGGGAGTTGCATAATGATACAAGTGTAATCCGATTTTGTGATTTCATATTTTACCAAAGAGATGGTGCGATTGGGTAGTCTATTTTCCTGTAAGTGGCTGACAGGAAATCATCAATCTTGGTTGCAAATGGTCTATAATTTCGTTCAGATTGGAGCTATAGTAATAAGATTGGAATAGGACCTGAATGGGGTGAATGGCTCAAAAAAGCTCATAATGTTTATTACAAGTCACCATGTTTTTACTCATAATTACTGCTTTTGGACACTTGGACGCAATCACCAAAGAGCACGGCATTTAAATTTTTATGACTATAGGTCTATGAGACGGAGGTGCAGGAGAACTCAACAGCCACGGCGAAGCACTCGGTGAGCCCAGCCGAGGAGAGGGCCTTTATTGATTGGATAAATCGTTTGCTGGGTCCGGATCCGGACCTTAAGCACCATTTGCCTATCGACTACACTGTTGACGGGCAGCTGTACGAGCGGTGCCGCGACGGTTTGCTGCTCTGCAAACTCATAAACGCCGCTGTACCGGACACCATTGATGAGCGCTGTATTAATAAGACTCCCACAAAACCAAATATCTTTAAGGTATTTTCTACCCTCATCCCAACTCAACCTTATCTCCCTGTTTTTCCCCGGCCTTTTTATTAGCCTTTGAATGGTTTCGCATTTTGTGAACGAAACACCAATATATAAACGCGTTGACCTTCTTCAGAAGAAATTTGAAAATAGCGAAATTAAATTGCTAAGCAGTAAATTTTCCATAATTACTGCATAGGTATGCAATATGCAACTCCGAAACATACCTAAAAATTTCCTTGGTTTTTCTTAGATAAATGAGAATCTTACACTAGCAGTAAACTCAGCCGAGTCAATTGGATGCTGTGTGGTCAATGTTGGCCCGGAGGACATTGAACAGTGTGCCCGTCACCTAGTGCTCGGTCTTATCTGGCAAATCATTCGTATCGGCCTGCTCGGTATGATCTCGATTCAGCATCACAGCGAGCTTATCGACTTGTTGGAACCGGGAGAGACTGTAGACAATCTGCGTTTTCTTTCTCCTGAGGAGTTGCTCCTCCGTTGGGTCAACTTCCACCTTGAGATGGCCGGCAACACGCATAGAATGACAAACTTCACATATGATGTCATCGACTCAGAGATTTACGCCACGTTACTCCAACAAATCGCCCCTGAAGATAAGCAGTCCTTTCTTATACCCGTAACTGGAATCATGGCTGAGAGCAACATGTATTGCCGTGCCGAAATGGTCCTTGAAAACGCCGAGTTTCTCAACGCAGCTGCCTTCATCTCACCTGACGATATTGTGAATGCAGCAGAACGCGGAATGGCTCGGGACAAACTTCACCTGGCCTTTGTGGCCAACCTTTTCAATCTCTACCCAGGTTTGAAGTCAAAACCATCTGTGGACGTTCCCGAAACACTAGAGGAGAAAACTTACCGCAACTGGATGAATTCAATGGGTGTTGCGCCGTTTGTGCGTGATCTTTCCAGCGATCTACGCAGCGGTCTCATATTTTTGCAACTTCTAGATGTCCTGGAGCCAGGAACTGTAGCCTGGAACAAGATCGTTCGTGTCTTTGATCCAAAGAGACAGATATTCCAGATGCAAGATAACTGTGCTTACGTCGTTGAGTATGCCAACTTACTGAATGTCAACGTGGTCAATTTGAGCGGAGAGGATATAAGAAATGCAGAGAGGAAATTGACATTAGGACTCACCTTCCAACTAATGCGAGCCTACACCATGAAGATGCTCTCTGAGTTACACCAGTGTTTTGGTCACCTCTGTGAAAAGGACATCCTTGAATGGGCGAATGAGAAACTGGTCTCGGTGGGAGCCCCGATGCTTGCCAGTTTCCGCGATTCCACGATCTCAAATGGTGTGCCTGTGATGAACCTCATCAATGCAATCAAACCTCATTCGATTGACAAATCGATGGTGCTGAAAGATAAGCTAGCGAACTGTCGAATTGCAATCAGCACTGCGAGAAAAATCGGGGCTAGAGTTTATGCCCTTCCGGAGCATTTGAGAGACGTGAATCCGAAGATGGTCATGACGGTTTTCGCCTGTCTGATGGCTCTTGACATACAACTCAACGGAGCACCGTAAAAGGTGTAACGCTTGCATTTTACTAACACGATTCTCACAAATAAGGTCTCTGACTCCTACTCTTATGGATGCTTTAGTATAAGTCCCATAATTCCAAATCAAGTGGTCTGTAAATAATTCTCCTAAACATGAGATGAGCAAATGCACTTACCATGTTAGCGCTTTTAAGGGCCATTAATTGATACACCTTGCACCATGTACCAATAAACGATGTCTTAAAGGGAATTCGCTGGAACCTTTCGATCGTATCAGAACTGGGGAAGCAAATAGTCATGACATGGGCTATGGAGGTGCTTAATTGTATTTCAAGAGTTATTTGCCTAAATCTTGCTTTAAGTAGACCTACTTTTAAAAAAGGCTTTGCACAATATTCATCTTGAACCGAATTTTTTAGTAAATATTAAAATAATAAGGCTCTCCTCCTAGTGTTTAGTACTGATATTATCGTAGGTCCTTTAAAAGAAATGCAACAAGACTAGTACTGATTGCAAGCAAAGGTGAGGGTAAGACATCCAGTTATTATAAATGTCTTGTTCAATCGAAGTAATTAGGGAAATATAACATGGACCTCTCCTTGCGGACGATCATTTGAGTATTCTGCATATTGTAATTTTATGGCTCCAATCTTGGAATCAAACTAGTGATGCTATTCATTAAGTTGCTAGACTCTATATATACTTTTTAACAAGTTTTCTTCGTTGAAAAAGAAGGAGCAAAGTTTTACGAGAGAGACAAAAACTAACCATATGTCAGAACTATCCAAGAAATTGCACTTAGTTATGCGTTCACTTAATTTTGAAGAAAATGAAAGTATACTTACTCATACGCTCATTGGTAAAAAGATTGAGTGCTGTTTGTGTTTGCCTAAAAATCAAAATCTATCTTTTTGGCAGCATAGCTATTCCATCAAGCTGATCACCGCCATGACACTAGCCTTAATTAAGGTCGATGACGCTTTAACTTCATGAGTAAAGTGGTTCTGGAGGGTGGGCTAATGCGTGTGAATAGCTGCACTTGCGACATTGACAGCCGATTTGTTCATCACGATGCCACAAAAGAGCCAACTTTTGACGCCTGCATGAGGAGTCACGCAGGCCTGCACTCTGACATAATCGAGTTAACGCTCTGCGGGTGAGATGCTAATAGAATGCTGTTTGCCAGGGCGCCAAGTCGCTTATCACCACCTGTAAGCATTCATCCAAGTTGGTCTGAAAATCAGCGCAAAATAGAAATAATATGTTTGTGGTCTCTTTAAAGCGTAAACATTTTTAACCAATTATGAGGTATACTGGGGTATGAAAGTTAATGCTAATAGCTCAGTTGGGGACGCTGTAGTGTCGACTTGTTACGACTGAAGAGGACATTGAATGGAACTCTTTGGCTGCAAATACTACAATTTAAGAACAACAGAACACGCAATTCTCGAGTTCATTAAATTTAAGTAAATAATCCAGTCTCAATTAATGTCCAATCTCGAGATGGCAGAATGGAAGCGCTACAGGTGAAATTCAGTACTACATAACTACTTTCGCATAAGAATCTTATTCATTGGCTCTCCTAGAATCAATACTTTGGTATTCATTGAAGCCGTAAGGTTTTGTGGAGTTGCAGAGGATTCTGACAAAAAGTAACACCTCTTTGGCGGCGATTACCTGGTAAATGTACCCTATGATTTAAAACAAACTTGGCTGTCTTTCTCCCACTTTATCAGTTGAACTGTTAAGTGTCGAAGGAAAATGTGTTGAAGCAAACACAACTGTCCAAGTCAAATTATGGCTGATCTGGAACTTTTGGCGACATGAGTTACATGGGTTTGGCACGCCAACTATCGACATGAGTGCTAATTTCTAATTCTAGTTCATGGTGGGCCTGCGTAGCGGTCTGAGCCGATTTCCATCGATGCAGGATCAGGGGACAGAAATGGCTACAGACTATTTGATGGATGGGGTGGGCAATATGTTCTCCACACATTGGCTTGCTTATTTACTTGCCAAGTCGACGTAAAGTGACCGCAAAGTGCAAAGTTTATTGTAAATCGCTACTTCTCCTTCAGCAACAGTGTTTGGAATTTATTAGTGCTACACTTTCCTAACGGTCGTAGCGGAGCCATCGTGATCAAGAAGTTGAAAAACTCACCTAAAATTCCTATTTGTGAAATTAATACATATGTAGGTACAGATAGAGCACTGTCAAAACAGGCATTCAAACTCTCGGTCCCACTACGCTATTTTCCACTGACTTTTGCAATGAAGCGGTACGCATTATTCAACCTTGATTTTATAAGTTTTTACACCTTTAGAGTAGCAGTTTCAATTCTCCATCAGTTACATCAACTAAAATGCTTGTGAAATTTCAAAATATTCCCCTATTTCATTGTTTTGTTGGGGCTTTCACAACTCTTTTGCAATAAAAACCTGACCCACTAATAACAGTCCGTACTCTTTTTTTGTTATATCACTTCTTATGATTTTGAAAAGAGGAGTAGGATGATTAAACAATTTTTGAAATCTTTCTTCTACTACTAAATCTGTAGATCTGACTTTAAATGAATCTACTTGTCAAATAACTGTAAGAAATGGAGACAAGTAAGATCACTGAGTTGATAAATGCCAAAGGAACAAAGGGGTTACTGAAATGGAGGGAAAATAGGGAGAATCTAAACGTAGTGAATCTTCGTGGGGGTGTCCACGTGGCTCCACGTCATCTGAGGGGCAGCAGGAAGCTGCGAGTCAAACGTTGAAATAACTGCGGGATCCTGAAGATGCGGCGGAGACAATGGTGTGAGTGGAGGGATTGAGGTAGATGAAAGGGCGTGAAGATCAACCAATGGAATGTTGTCCGTGGGTTTGCTCGACCTCAGTTGCGGTCGACTCTGCTTATAAGGCTCCAAAGGATCTGCCACTCCAATCAAATCCGGCAGCTCCTCTCGCGCCTTCTCACGCACGTGAGTGTAGGGCGCGGCTACGATGAGAAAAGGGCAATTTTCGAGTGAAAAAGTGCACGGTGTACCACTTGAAAAGTAGTTTAATCAGAGAGACACATAATTTTACCCATTCTTTTTTGGATTTCTTATATTAATACATTCAGGAACTTTTCGCAAATGTCGCTGGGACACGATATTAATGGAAATTTACTATTAGGATCGAAGCGTTTCCTTTGAAACCTTTGGAAGGTGAGACGACAGTCACCTGTTTTGTCAATAATTTTATTTCGATTTTTTATTTTTAGGGTATCTATAGCATTAAGGGGTTTTTATTGTCGTTACTTTGCCAGATTTTTTGCTCTATCAAGATTTTCTTCGGCGAATTCTCTTAAATTATCCAAAATGTGCTAAAGGGTATTCTTTGTCAGCTTGGTATTATTAGACGGCAGTTGCGCAGTCGTAAGGCCCGTACAGTTTTGATCAATCATTCTAAACAAGGTACGATCTCGTTAAGAATATAATTTTAACTAATTATTTAATGTAATTTTTATGGCCTCGAATTATGCGTATGCGCCGAGGGAAGGGGGCCGTGGCTGTTAGAGTGCATCGCCGTAGATCAAAAATTTGGACAAGAACAAAGATGAGTTCTCATGCGTAAATGCAAATGATTTCTCATTGCTTCTATGAGCTAATAGATTGTTTTGTTGATCCATATGGTCCTTTAGTGAATAAAGCAATGAGGATAAGAAAAAAAATAAGACCTTAGAGACAGTACTTTTGAGCCTCTTTTGACCTAAAACACTCAAACGCAGGGAATGGAATAAATGGGAAAGGATATAGACATATGTGAACTTGATTTTAGAAGACAGAGCATTATCTGAAACGGTAAAAAAGGGAAAGAAATTCTAGTTTGATTTTCAGTACTACTTCTTTTCGTTTTGAAATCGAGGTCTGGTAAATTTGCGTCCAATGGAGGTGGTAATAAGTTTTATTGCCTTTAATTTGAAATAAGCGAAGTATTTAAAGCGGAAATCATAACACAAGGCAAAAGCACCTAAGCAACGGGAAATTCGTACTAATTTGAGTAAAAATATGCAACATGGAGCATTTTTCATCCAAAAAGTCCACAGCTCCACTCCGCAAACAAAACTGCATGTGTTTTTTTAGAAAATTCAGACAATGAGAATTTTGACTACTGCATCACAAATGATGCAACATCGTATGCTGCCAATTCAAATAATTTAAAGAATTTCAGCAAAACTCGAAAATACATTCCAAAGAAACATATTCAGCAATTTTTGTCATTTGGTGCGCACACATGCTAGGAATAAACAATTTCATTGGTCTCCCTCCAAACGCACGAATAAGCTCCTTTGTATGCATGGGTTATAACACTCATTAGCAGCACCAAACCTACTTGAGGTCTTATCGATGTAAAAGTCTAAGACAGACCTCAGCATCACTTTCCAGAGACGCAGTAAACAACTTCTTTTCCATTCGTTTAATCGGGAGACATTATCTTTAGCATTGGCCAATAAAGACAAATGCAACTTAAAACAATTGCAAATGGATTTGTCCTAATGCTTGAATAAATGGACCGGTATTACGACTCATTCATCTTGCCCAAAGGCCAAAATATGGCAAAAACCAAAAATTTGGGAGCGAGAGACCCACCCGAGCCGTAGAGGGAGGTTGCCACGGCAGCTGCAATTAAGGGGTTGGCGGGGGCGTTGAGCTCGTCCATACCCACACCATCATTGATGTCCTCGGTGCCGTCGTCTTGTGGCGACGGAGTGTTATTGGCAAGGCCGAAGAGGTAGCGTTCAGATCTCTTCTCTCCGCCTTCTGCGTTCGTCATCGCACGCCTTAATTCGCCCCTAGTCTTCCCGTTGCTAAAATATCCAGAAACAATTTTTTTAGGGGGCAAATGATTTCACACCTGTGGAGAAGGAACAAGGGTAAATTACCTTCTATGACGTTTATCCAGACCACCTGGAGGACCACTTTGTCTTGGCAAACTTTCAACGGACGCTAAATGGTATCCAAAACCATCAAATGAATTCTACTCATATTAACGAGTAGACTGTAAAGGTGACAATCACACAGGATCGCGGTAACCTCACCAGTGAGGATGGGTTTTCGTTGTGAAAGTGTGCGGTGATGACTCAGGAACCGACTGCCGTCATGCGCGGCAATACGTTTTCCCGAGGTTCGACGCAGGAGCGATTGCCGGAATTCGATTTGGGAAAACGGACGCGCTTGACCACCCTCCAGAATACCTACATAGTATATCATGCAAATCGTATCAATTCAAGGGAATAATAAAAAATACGCCAGAAATTCGATCCTTTTCCTAATTCATGTGTTTAGCTCATTAACAGTCAAATACCCTATTTTTAACAAACTTATAAGCACTAGCAATGACCATTTCGTTGAAAATGAACAATCATGCACTACTTTCGGTACCGTGGGAGCTTTAATGCATCTTTGCTCGTAATTTAGAGTGAATTAATGCCAGAATTATCGCAGTGGGAAAGCACGATAAAAGTTTACAAAAATGCTTCTCTGAGGAATGCCGAAGGATGCCTGGAAGGGGTGCACTAGCCACCGAGTTACCAGAATCGCTGGCAGCTGAGGGTGCAAGCATTGAGCTGTCGGGCATCTGGCGTGGACTCAAAAATAGCTGGTGCTTCTGTCGCATTAGGTTGAGCATCTAATAAAAGCAGATTACTTGTAAATGGCAAAAAATCACATATATGATTAAATTCAAAAAGAGAACGGTTGAAATTGAATTTTAATCTGAGATAAGTTGTGACAAGGTTAAGGGCTTGCCTGTTTCTCCTCTCGAAGAATTTGAAGATCAAGCAGAAGTTCCTTCAAGAGAGAGACAATTGTTTGCTGTGGTGGCAAATGGAGTCCGATCAGCTTTTGACCAATTATCTGTTGGAACGCTTGTTCTCCTTGAGTTTCGCATTTGAAATTCAAAACCTGAGTTAAAATATCATGAAATTACAAGAAACTGCAAGTTTTTAGTATTTCGCGTGCAAATGAGGGACTAATGTTTGAAAATAGGTTAAAAATTATATTTGTGGAATACATCTAGTGTCCTTTTTTGATAAAATTAAAGCCCAATGGGACGTGTCGGGGCAGCTGTTTAAAAAGGGTGCAAGTAAGTTGTTTTGTAAACAAACTTCGGTAAAAAATAAGTAGGATTTGGGTTTTGAATACTGATACCTACCTGAAACCGGAAGAAGGGTGCCATATGCATGAAGATGCTTGGCCTGTAGGTGACCACGAAGTCGAGAAACTTCCACAGCTGCACCCCACAGCATTGATAGAAGGCCAGCTTGGCCAGAATGGCGATTATGTGGCGTGACTTGGCGAGTGCGTGACGCGGATAGACAATCAGGATGAGTTTGAGCCCCAAAAAGGCAAGTCTGAGGAAACGAGTAGAAGCTGATCAGCTAGCTATTGAAACAGTATTTCGCTAGATCTCCTCTAGTATAACCAGGTAGTGAATCGGATGCGATGTTTCCCATGATTTCGAAAGCAATTTTCAAGAGTGAGTAAATTCGCTTTAAATGGAATCCATAGACCCAGAAAGAAGTGCTACTGTGAGATTTGATTCGGTTATATAATGACTTGGAGGTAAAGAACATAAAGCAGAACGGAGTAAACTGCTACTCTCAAATATTTCTTCTTAATCAGCCATCCACGTTCGGCAAATATAAAATTCACAATTGTCTTTGCATCTTATGCATTTTTAATAGGCAAATTTTTATGCGTCAAAGTAGTAACAGAAGTTCCTATTTCAGCGCAAGACATTCATAAAATACGAAAGTACAGCCCAAACTTAGGAGAACTTTGGTTTTTGGTCAGTGTTGAAATAATCGGCATCAAATACTTTTGACGAGGACATAACCGAATCAAGTAACCGCCATACAATGCGGCAAGGCTCCGAAACATGAAGTAGAGAGCTGTTTATAAGTCTGTTTATGAAGTAAAAAAGTTTTCTTCGATTTCCCACACAGCAGTGGGCATATGAACTCACACACTTGATTGGTGGCATCTGTCAGTATACCAAGTAAGCAAAACACTTTTCTGCTTATCAATTACAAAAACCCAGCTTCTCATAAAAAATCTTTTATGAGATTTGTGCTAATTCCCAACCAACATTTTATGCCTTCTTTAATAATGGTGGAAGAAAATAAGGTTTTCCGAGGAACCAAATTACCTGAAAGAGCTTCTGCACGTAATTAACTGGCAACTGGATGGAGTTTAAATTTATAGTCTGCGTTTGAAAAGTTTCCCATGAAGTAAAGGGTTTTTTAATCCACAGAGAGTCCAGTCCACAGCGAAAGGCACGGATTTGGTGGAAAATTTGTTAGTTTATAGACAAAGGTAGGCCTACTTCCACCGAGTACTTAATTTTTCAAAATTTACACTGCTGGGATATCTTAGCGATAAATTCGACGAAAATTTGAGTCGTCCTCAAGAAGTATAGCTTAGTGAAGCACAATCTTTAATGTCATCAAAGTCAGAATAAAATTACGCAAAAAACGTCCTGCAAACTGCACTGTTTTAAATGATAAATATCATTGGGGGATTAAACGAGGATTAGCCGAAGCGGTGGTCAGGCCCAACATTCCTTACATACTTTGGACACGCCATCGTCTCGTGGATATGGAAGTGATACTATCTGTGATAATTCTCTAAGGCAAACGGCTCTGTTCATTGTGAAATCCTGAGGGAAAACATAAATCAACCCCCAATCTTCCTTCTGAAGGTAAATCATTCATTGGAGGAAAAACTACCAACAGAAGTTTGGTCACTTGTCGGGGCAGTAAATTTCCAGGCCGAAATTTGGGTTCGCGTGGTGGTAGGAAGGATTACGAAGTGGCTGCCCCTTCTTTGTAGCGTTGGGCAGAGTTATTGATCAACGAAAGCCAACTCACATCCCCTCTCTCGCCTTTTCTCCACTGAGAGGCGAGACGGCATTGGTTGAAAGGAATAAAGTCGGCGACGGCTACGGCAGTAGTGGGGCGACAATATAGGTGAAGGCTAAGGTGAGAAGCAGAGAAATCTGCGGCATGGAAATGGAGCATGTCTCACATACCAGACAAAAGCATATACCCTATTTTATCTCCTTTCTACTTCATTATTCATTTCCTCATTCCCTCCCTTCAAACTTCTTACTGTAATGTAAAAAATCATTTCATTAACCATACACTAAACCGTAATTCATCGTGTTAGTGAAGCGTTTTACAAATGGCAGTTGTAATGCACTGATGTCGCCTTAAATGACACAGAGATTATAAAATATGAACTTATTTATCACCATGATTGGATAGGAACACCTAAAATCAACACATGCAGGTAAGTTTTCAGGGAAATGCATTTTGCTGTAGGACCTTTCATGAATAATGAGATTTCAATGCATTGTAGCAAAGGGTAAGTTCATCTTCACAATTCAAGTATGCATATTACAGGGGCATGTTTATCGGAAAAATAAGCATCGCTATTAAAATAAAGAAAACTCGTTAGATAATACATTGCGCAATTGGTTCGAAAAACAAAAATTTCAAATTTTATCATCCCCTTTGGTAACCTTTACAGTCATAAATTCTTCTCCCACAAGATTTTAAAGTGCTGCCAAGTGGCTGTGCGAAAGTACATCTCGTGTTTATTCTCACTCTCCAAAAAACTATCCCAAAACAGAAACCACCGAGGTAATGAAGCTGATTGGCTCAGAAGAGTGAACCGGTGGGGTGGGTGAGGAGTTGCATACCGTTCATGCCCTTTTTTCCTCGTCTGTCGACTCTGATTTGTGGAGTGAGAAAGTGAGAGAACACGATGGCTATCTCATACGGCAAGATGAAACTTAGTTGCATGCCTTAGAGTACTGTTTTAATTACTCAGCTAAGGCATTGAAAATAAGATGCTGAAAAGTGATAGAGACTGTTTATGGGTCTGATTAATGCAGGAAGGTGTTTTTAAATAAGTAGTGTAGTTAAACTATTGGTGCAATACTGTAAAATAAATCGTTTTGTTCAAGTTTGCCAAATTTGGTCAAATTTACAATTTGGATTTAGTGTGTAGCAATTAATCTGATTAACTAAAGGGACTCACATTGGAAGGGTGTTTGGTGATTGATTTTGAGTGGCCCAAGGAAGCTGCATGTTTCAGGAGTTGCTGATACTCAGAACACTTCCATAAACAAGCAAAAGACAAGTGATAACTTTACCACATCGCTAATGGGTTAAAAATTGACGAGCCAATAAACCCAAATATGCTCATAAAATTCAGATCTCCGGACACCTTCAATGAAAGTTTACAGCTAGGCATTCCACTTGCGGAAAAGGAAATTAATCAAGCAAATTTTTCGATATTACAAATTTCCTTTATTGAAGCTGTTTTTTACATTTAGACACGTGAGCCACAAAAAGTGAATAGGTGGAAGTGAGGTCAAATTTAATGTCCGGCGCACTTTTCGAGAGTAGCAGATACGAGCTTGAAGTGATTCAAACGGCATTATTAATTACCTTTGTAACATTTCATACCTGCATGAACCACTCCTATGGAAAGATGAATACCGTTTACAAATACTATGGTTTTAGTGTCATATTACACTTACTTGTGAACGACATCTATTTGCGACTGGACATTTTTCTCATGGTTGGAGAGTATCGAAGGGTTAGCATGGCTAACTTTAACTGAATTGCCTGGAAAAGCAGTACTGGTGGCAGCAGTCATCGCTCCGACAGCAGAGGCGCCAGGTATCTCCTCCGCCTTGGGATGTCTCATGCTGTGCAACGTCGGACCAACTAAATTCACGACACAGCCATGTACCCGACCCCCGCCAAGATCGCAGGCAAGTCCCGAAGGTCTGATCAACTCCCAGGTGGACCCGGTGACTGGCGGACCCCCGAGAAGATTTGGGAGCTGTAGGAGACCCGTCACCCCTACCGTACCCGACATGCTTTGGCCCAAGGACGACTTGATGCCACCTCCGCCACCACTGCCACTGCCTCCACCGGGACCGCAGCCTTCTCCCATAGCACCCATAGGCTGGTTTGATTTGGAATTGGTCAGCATGAAGGAGGAGTGGATACCCAGCTTCCTGGGTCCTTCGAACGCCATGTGGTCGGAGGCAGCGCCAGAGGGTCTACTTGAACCCACGCCCACAGTCTCTGTACCAGCAGTTGAGGCCACTCCACCTGTTGAGGTGCATTTCTCAGAGCCGACGAACAGACCTGAGAGGCATACCTCAAGGGCGTAGTAAACGTTCTCCTTGGAGAGGCTTGGGTAGTCTATGAGTAAAGTGACTGCCAACTTTAGAGATGGGGAGACTATGAAAACTAAGGTCGAGACAGAAATGACGGTTTACGATAATGAGTCATGTAAATGTGAGGCTTTACTGATTTGGGATGTAGGCATCGAAAATGGAGTCCGATGATAAAATTCAGTTTCTCTTGAATAACACTTGCAATGGGCTTTAACTTAAAAAGCCTCAAAATTCAATTTGATAGATTAAATTGACAATTTTACCATATCAGTAGGGATTATCGGTTTGGCCAGAAGAATTTGGATAACTATGTTCATCCCCTACACAGTATTTAACATATCCGACCTTTAAATGATTTGTAAGATTTGCCTTAAATGCCTTCAGATGGCATCAGTAATGTTTTTGAACTACTTCAGAGATGCATTTAAAAACAGATGGAGTCTTTCAAAAGGAGTGCATTTTATGCCTAACCACTAACTGTAATCGCAGCAGCATTTGAGGAGTCCGAGCTCCTTCGAAAATTACACAGTAATATGGGTAACGACATTGCTGACCCAGATTTTCACCACAACCCAGAAAACATAATTTATGCTTCCAAAAGATGGGCTCCAGTGACAGAGTGAGGCATCGTCTTTGACCTTAAATTGGATCTACATTGAAAACATTTCTGTCAGATCCGTCAACACTAAGTGATTGACAGCTTTTAAGTTAACTACAAGAAATTTCAATAACTTCGGTGGTGTAATTGCAACAAATTAGTAGGAAAGCTCCTATGCACCACGTTCCAGACAGCCATTCATTTTATATCTAGGCACATGCTTGCAACAAGTTCAAGACTATCTTTTAGGCTTAGTTATTATTCGCGGTATTCGAAAGAAGTAAGAAAAAGTAGTCACTTTGCGCAGATATTATTGGTTCTTGACTGGAACTAACTAAAACTGGTAGCTAAATAAGAAAATCAGGCATACTTGTCTTGATGGGGCACAATAAGTTACGGTAACCGTGGCTGCCCCGAGGAGTCGTGAGAATTGGTGTGGTAAATTTTACGCTACTGAGCAGAAATTTGTGCAATAGGAGCCTTATTAGGGTCGGAAGTGACATTTTCGCGCGATCAATCAGAAAAAGAATTTAAGCCCAGCGATGCCAACCTTCCTGAGCTCGAATGCGTCATGCCAACCGCCCAATCATGTGGCGCGAGTCGACACATCAGCCAACCAGGTGTCGCGGTTCTGCCAACTTTGCTCCTCCTCCTCCTCCTCCGCCTTCCTCACGTGTGCACCACGTTTGCCATAAAACTGCCCATGCAATCCCGTGCATTTTGTGCATTTCACAGTTGGTGTTTTCATTGGTTTCCCTCTTTCCTTGGGGCAATTTGCCTTCTGCAATTCTCGGCCCATTTTTGTGGCTAGGCACTGCACATGTCGTTAAACCTTGCTTTGAGCAACTTTGAAGTATTCACACACCAAAATGAGTGGGTTAGTAAAGTACTTTAGTTTCTAGTACACAGTCGAATTTCAAATGGCGGTGAATTCAATCTCACCTTTTTAGTCATTTAAATATGTGGGGCTGAAATCTGCATAATCAGAATTTAAACTGCTTCGCAGCAAAATCCATTTTTGGGAAAACGCAAATCCCAGGAACAGACGAATTGTATATCGTGTTTATATGTTAGATTCTGAGACATTTTACCTTAATTAAAATAGCTGCTTACCTCCACGACCAGTACTGCAGTGCAATAATAATGGAACAATCAGGTAGGCCAAATAGTTGGAAAGATTCTCTGTGCCACCCTCAAATATTGTTGGACAGCGGCAAAATTCGAAATTGGCCCTCTCACATAGGTCCTTGAGACGGTATGAAGACTAAAATGAAGAATATTTGTTTGACTATTTGTGCATGACTCCGCCATATCTCTATTCTCATTATCTGCAGATGGCTGGCCCTTAAGTATTATTGCCATGTAACGGACCTCACTTAAAGAAACACCTTTGGTAAACATTTCTGAGGTACTGACTAGAATAGAGTCAAACACCAGTATATGATGAAGTAGTAGCCCATTGTAGTGTTAGGATGTTCATTCATTAGAGTATGTTCTGTACTACCGGCCTTTTGACATGGGAATTAGCAATTCCACGCTGTAGACTTGGCTACATTGTCTACGTTCATAAGCAATCAATTTGGTCCACAAGGCCTGGAAGTCTAGAACCATTCCGACAAAACAGACCTCCAAAGGGAAATCAGCATCAAATGTGGGAGTAGTTGAGCTGAAAATCATTCAATCGCACTTTCCACAGATTGCAACCTATCTCAAAGTCGCGTTTCTTGTATTCATCACACCAATTAAAAAATTTAGAAGGCCATTTTTCCGGAAAAATTCAAAGGTATTTTAAAGCCTAGGCGACTTGGTGATGTCGTGGAGAATTTGTCTAGTTAATAAGGGTGCGCTTATGCATACTAAAATTGTGGCTAAAATGAGACATTGTTTAAAAATAATTCCTTAAACCGCGAGTCCATATTGGATGGAAGCATGAAAGAACAACCAGGCTAATCAACTTTTCCAGTTGGAATTGCTTGAATATAGTTCATACAAATTCAAAATGGTGTACATAGCGTTGATGAGTGCTGGAATAACGTTAGGTTCTAATTATTTATTTTTGCACATTTTTAGAGTTTTGAGAAGGACAAAAAGTGTTTGCTGTGGTGTTTAGACTCTACTGAATAATGTAGGCATTTCGCTAAATCATGAAAGAAAATTAATCGTGTGAATAATAATTTCGGCAACACCTCCCTTATGCAGCCTTACGCAGGGGTCGTGAATCCCAGGACCGTCGTATCAGCTCCTGATGCATATTCCTATTGAAAAGGAGCATCACTCCATAAAAAGTGGTAGAAATGGGACTGATATAAATGATTCCTTGCTGTCTATGAGCACAGGGCCGGAGCACTTTAGTAAAGAATTTGAAGATTCATTGAGAGTACACTCAGGCCCTCCTTCCATTCAATCCAACAATATTGACACATATAGTGAGAGGCTCGACTACTACGTGCACCAGAATTACATTGCTTTAAAACCTTTGAACAATGCACATTACTTTTTATGCATTGACGCCAATATGTCTTTTGAAATATAAAGACAATCATTTTGGATAGAAAGTACATGCTACTATGTATATTAGAAGTCCCGTATTGTTAAATGTAGAGTGGATTTAAACTAATTTCTAACCCTTACACTTACCAGTATTTTTTCAGCAATTAAAAGGTTTTTGAATCGGCTCGTCTGAAACACATTTCGTGGTTGCGGCGAGTCTCTTCACTACTTCAACTGTTAATTTAAACCATGTGTATATATTAGATCGCTCCTTATTACTGTCTTTCAAATAGCTACAAGTTTCAACAGCAACCTCACATATCTTTCTGTTCCCCTTTACAAGAAATATAATTTTGCGGTTTAATGTTTTTTGTCTTAATAGTATTTTATTTTTTCCAACTGTCGAGGCAGATTGTCTCATTATCTCCTTCCAGCTGGTTAACCTCCCAACAATGATTAATATTAATTGTGGTAAAAATCATTCTGAAGGAAGAATGACGTCCTACGAACGCTAAAATTCACTTGATTTAGAATCATGTCAACACCTCATGTTTCCGACTGAAATTTGTTTTGCAGCGGGCGTTTTGCTTCCATCAATGTCACATGAATAAAATAAAAAAAGTAAAAAAGGGGTTCCCAAAAGTACTGTGAATAAGTTTAAGCTGCTAGTTTTGTCTGACTAGCTTCTAGATCCCTCTAGCGAATTCACACTGAGCAATGGTGTGCAAGAGGCTCACCTCAAGGCAACTGAGCATGAGGGCGATGAAACGCGTGGCCTCGGACGCGAAGCCGGTGGGGAGGCAGCTAGTCTCAACCGCTCCCCCTGTCGCCGTTGTCGTCGAAACCCGCTCACCGGAGGAAGTGGAGGAAGCGGTGCCCTTAGCCAATGACGAGGTCAATGTACTACCTGTTGATGTGGGACTCCGTGAAACTCTGAAAAAGAAGGCATCACTGTGACTTAATCTGGATAAAGCTTTTTAACACCACAGGCCATTTATTTAACTTACCATTCCCCAAAACCTGGTAATAAAACTGAATCATGGCTATAGAGGGGTGTTTTAAATCAATTCCCTGTTTTAGGGTCAAGTATTTTGCAAAAAAAACCCGCAAACGGTTGAAAAACCGGTCGAATTACGCCAGATGAAGTGACAGTGGTGTCTATTCAAAATCCATTTCTTATCGGGTCCTCTTTGGTAAGTGCTAAAAATGGAGACAAAACTAATTAGAGGGTTATCTGCGGCTCACCTCGGAGGCGCACGTCTCTCCGCGGTGGAAGTAATCAACTCAGGGTGGAAGGTGACTCCCGGCGTATAGGTCACAGACCGCTCCCCGCCGGCAGTTGTGGTACCCATGGTGGCGCGGCGACCCAGATGTTGTGCCGTCACCATCGTGATGGTGGCCTGAGGTGTGGTGGTAAACAAACGCTCAGATGACCACCAGGCGTTCGGTCCGACGACTAGACTTCGTTTCAGGTAGTCGTTGAACAGCTTATGAATAGAATAGGGCAGAAATTTTCCACGTTTATTGACGTTATTGAGGCATCATCAGCTTTTACTTAATCTTACAATCCCCAAAGGTAGGTAGGCACATTATGCCTCTCTAAAGCAAGATGTGGCTTGCTCATTACTTACCGAAATACAAAGTTCAAAACACTTTAACCAAAAAAACATTTTGTTGGTTCCAGCAAAGGTCCCGTAAATATTCAAATCGATCCGAGAAGGTATCAAGAAAAGGCAACAGAGTCAAGTTTGGTATTCAAATTTGAATAGCTGTGGATTTCATTTTCGACTAGACTACAAACTAACATACCTTTATTTCCTTCAAGTGAGCGACTGCTCTATTCCTCTGAACGGTCCGATAAAGTGCTCGTATCAAATTTGTGAGATGCTCCCAACTGATTTGTCTCTAGAATTTGTAAAAGGTAGATGGTAGTCAAAATTCCCGTATGCTGCTACTCGGTTAAAGAATTATCATAGACTGCATTTACTACATCGCATCGTCACCACATGGTAATCAACCATTACTGAGTATTGTCGTCTTAAGGCAAAGGTAAAATGCATCGAAGTAACTTCCTAGAAGTAAAAAACCATGTTTTAGATTTATTACTATCTTTATGTGATAGGATCACCCACATGGCAGATGGAGTCGGTGTCATTCAAACAATCGTTCATTACCAACCATTTCCAACAAGTACGTTAACTGAAGTAGGGCTTACTTATCGTCAGTGTGCCTACTATTTATTCATTAGTTACTCGTCGTTTATTTGTTCGAATTGTTATTTATTTTGCAATATTTCGGTTTCATTAAAACAGCCTTACACGAAATGAAGCTGTCTCTAGCAGCTTAGGAAGAGTTCGGTTCAATCGACCGACAAGAGTTTCAAGAGCCTTGCACCCACGTAGGGATTCGTGACTCCAGTCAGCGAGTGGCAGAATTTCCAGGAAGAATCGTTGAAGCGGTCGACTTTTCAAGAGATTCACGTTGTGGGGAAACTGCTTCACGATGGACTGCGCCAATTCGGAAAGACGCTTAAATAAAAAGGATTTTCTCAAATGTAAAATTAATAGGAGCAGTTATCTCGCTGTTAACTCTATATGTCTAGGCAATCATAACATGAAGAAGTGCTAACTTCTTGCCTATGATATTATTATTCTTAATTATTTTAAATATTTGTTAATTTTTAGTCCGCCTTTATTCACTCGTTGCGCTCATTTGGCGACTCACCATGAAAGCCTTTCCATCTAACAACTCCGACGACTTTTGTCTCTCCCCCAGCTCTCCGAGACGTCGGTGAGCGACGGTCAAGAACTCCGAGGCTATCTGCAGAATCGCCTCCCGCGGTTCGATGCTCGATTTGCGCCAGCCTGCAGGAGTGCCAATGTGATGTCCGCTATCACCACCTCCTCCGCCGCTACCACTACCACCACCACCTCCGCTAGCGCCCATCACAGCCGACGCACTACGCTTTAAGGCTCCCGAGGCTCCTTTGAAGGAGTCTCCACTGTATAGCTGGCGATGCGCCGACCGCTTGTTGGACGACTCGGATGAGGGCGGACGGCGATCCCTACTCCCAACGGCACCGGTAGATGGTGAGCCAGAGCGCGTAAGGCTTCGTTGCAAATGCTGCTGCATCAGTGAATGGTGCTGGTGGTGGTGGTAATGCGAATAGTTGCCCGAGATGGCAGAAGCCCACTCCGGCATCTTCGCAGGCTGGTCCGATGTAGCAAGACGCTTAACTGAGGCTCCCCCCAGTCCACGCGGTCCTCCCGGTATGGAACTGCTACTGACGGTTGAGGACACCACCGATTTCGTGTCGTCTGATCGTCTTTAAAGATTATAGAAAGATTTAACTTAAATCAGATAGTTGTTTGAATCCAAAAATCTTTTAGACTAGCTAACCTTGTCATCCATTCTGTTGTGTATATGAGTTGCTTTACCATGACTGACAGCTGCTGAATGACCTGCAATTCGAATTTTCTTGAATCCGCTCCTGTGCATTCCTCACCACAAATGATTGGTAAATCGCGTAAAATGTAGGGAAACATTGCTTGCAGAATAACCTGTAATTGATTATGCCAAAGAGATGTTAATTCATGCTTACCTTTGAAGAAAGGCTCGTCAAGGCTTTGCTTAAACTACGAAATTCAAGGCACCAGAAAAATGCATTTTTAGCAAATCGTGAACTAATAAGTGGTAAAGTGAGTACTTCAAAAATGCCCCATTCAAGTTCATTATCAAATGTGCATCATACGAACCGTTGCACCTTTAAAGAACTGCTTCATAAGCAATTAGTAGGCATGGATTTTCAGTAGAGGTCTCGCCAACGTACTCCCTCATCACGCATGATGTACTAATACCTGAATGATGCGATTATTTCATACAAACAAATGTATACAGTTTTAAAGCATCCTTGTAGCGGTAGCGCAAAGAAAATATTGTGGCTAAGTAGAGTACCCATACAATCTCCATTTGTCGCCTCTTAGTTTGTGGCTCTGAGGCGATGGCTAGGGCGGATGAATTCTGTCTAGCGTCGTCGCTGTAACTTTAGTTCACTCATATCAAGCCCAGCACCAAAAAATAAGACTTCCTTCTTATAACGTGTCTAAAATTCTTATTTTTTTTCAGGTGTAGGTTCTGGGATTTAATAAAAATTAGTTGCACTTAAACTATGCATCAAATCATGGTCTAAACTATTTATTAAACAACATTTACTATCTAATATGTAGATAATAGCTGCGTGGGCGAAATGCTGCTGAAATGTGGACATTGCAAAAGAGCCTAGTTGACCAAAGTGTTAGGTAAATATGCACCACTTTGAATTGCAATCTAAGTGGACCTAGGAAGGTTGTGACTTGTCAAACCGATGTTCTGTCCAAGTAGTAGTAGTAGTGGTAGTAGTAGTAGCAGTAGTAGTAGTAGTAACAGCAGTGGCAGCCATACGAGGCGATCCAGGGAGCACACCAAGTGCAATATTTACCACACTGATTAGCACCATGGAGTGAATTGTATCAACACAAAATACCATGTCGTACCTCGTAATGAAGGCCAGGAATTATTCAGTTACCCATACGAAAATGACTTGCACCCCAGCCTGCAAACAGATTTACCAGATTACTACCAAACTTCGATTGACATGAAAAAACTCGAAGCTAGCATTAACTATATCGAGGACAGTGCAGGCCTATCCAACATAAAGCCCATTCTTACTTTAAAATGTTACCTCTGACTAATCTGCCGGAACTGAACTAAATGGTAGCTCAAGGAGAAAATGCATTTTTCTGAACTTCTACAATTAGACCTTACCGTAATTCGATGGAGGAGAAATTCAATTGTAATCAGCAATGGCAACCCTGACAAGCCCTGGTGACAGGGCTACCGGTTATACGGGAGACACTTACCATCATTTGCCGCGATCGATAGGACTCTGGGGCATAGACCTGCACGGTGACGCACAGATTTACTGTTTCGAATATTGACCAGCTTTGTGAGTCATCCGCATAGCAGAAATCCTGTTTATAAGCAAGTTTTTACCGTTTGAATCAGGTCGTTGCTCTTTTAAAGCATTATGTTGCATTAGGAGAGCACTTGTCATAATATGCACAGACGAGTAATAAAACTTTGAGATGATTCGTTTGCTTATCGGAGTGAAAGAAATGGTACCCTTTGATTTTGATAAGTGCAAAAGTTGGCCTACCAGGGCTTTCAAGGGTTTCGAGAAGCTGCACAGTTGTAGTATTCCCAGTGTGTCTGGTATCTCCCTTCCAATAGCGCGCAAAAGTTGATAAAGGGTCTCTGGTTGAATCTGAATGAATAATAAATGAGTCATTTTGTGCGAGAAAAGTGTGTTTGCCCAAAGTCCAGTCAGAAAACTCAGTCATGAACACTGATTCATTACGATACATTTTAAGGCGAATTATTTGTCAGTAGGATATTTACGAAGTGAGAGTCATGCTTGCCAATGTGCAGTTGAATTAAGCTGTCCTGATAAAATCAGTCACTACTAATGTGGTAGACATGGCACTAACAGACGCGTGCTACAAACGATAATGCTTACCGTTCCAACAAAATTTTTTTCGTGCAAATATGATTAAATTGCCAAGCCTTTAAATGTGCACGAAGTTAGCCTTAGCAACCAGGACGTGCGCGTAAATTAGGGCATCGAGTAAGGCGTAAAAATAGTACAAGTCCCCAAAACTTGGACGTTTTTCCATACATTTTAGACATCGGTAATTTCTGTCGGTGGGTTTCAAATGACTTTTTTGCATCCATATTAACTTCTGATTTACGATTAACACTATGAGGGGTCATACGGATAAGAAAGCAGTGCCATTTTGAAAGCAATTTGAGCTATTTTAAATGAAAGCAATGATAGGAGCCAGTGAATTGCAATGATATGGAATTGTAGACTTAGAGGAGCAAATCACTACTCGATAAAAGTTGGACTGAATAGCATCATCGGGCGAGAGGTCAATGTAATTGGCGATGCTGCCGAACATCTGCAGGATGAAAGGTGTTCGATGCATTATATAGAATTGCCTGAAGATGAACTCTATCGCTTGTTTTAGAATCCCATTGTGTTGATTGTTGTGGTATACCCTGATGATTGTCGGGAGGATGCTCAAATACCCATTGACAGAGAAAATCATTTTGAACTGATAGCAGCACTGTGAATAGAAAGGAGGCAATAAGAAAAGTGTTAGGTTACTGAAAAACAAATCCTCGATACATCATTGCCACCGACACTAATGACACTTGATACCATTTGGAGAACAGTGATGTCAGAAATGGTTATACGGTATAAAACTGAGGCAGTTTACAATTAGTTGCATATTTAACATCAATAATTAATTAGCTTAGGCTGTAACTCACCAAATGAACCTAAATGGGATGAATCTGCTCCTTTTATACAGTGAAAGTTAGGTTTTCTTCCTATAAACCAAACTAAATTAGTGTGCAAAACTTTAGCCAGACTTTAAATTAGCTAGCCTCTTTTGCATTTACATACTTAAAATGGGCATTTCAGTGCCATTTGTTTTTCATGGCATCATTGAACGTGTTGACGATAAGACCAACGCAGTTGGTTCTTGAGCCTAGTACTCCCAGTAAGTGTTATTATAATTCTGCTCCAAAGACCAGAAAACGTACATTCCTTTGGGGTTTGGGTTGATGAGATCTACCCCCAGGAAAACCCCACTTCGGTTCAAATCCATTAAACGACAAGCAATCCATGTAAAGCACAGTCATTTGTAATTTCACCCTACCTGCAGATAAAAGGCCAGGCACTGACGAAGGATGGTGGTGTCTTCGGCATGTAAAACAAGGGTGCCATTGTAGACGTTGAGGAAAAGCTGCAAATCGGTAGACCAAGGGAAGGTAGATGTCATTTTTTGAAACATGGAGTTTATCAGTTGGCACCAGGTTAACTTGTGCATGGAGTCCATCGCGAACAGAGCCTTGCCCATGTCCCCACACTCGTAGAGCGTGAATTCGGCTTCAAGAGCCTTGCGTGGGAAAGATGGCAGTTTGGCCAGTTCTTCTCGTAGAAAGAGGATGTGGTTCGACATCTAAAACGGCCAACAGCCCACCAGTTGAATTTATTATTTTATTGATACAAAATGGTGATTCATAAATAGAGCTATCAAATTATTGGTTAGCAGGATTTAAAAAGACTGCAAGTTGCAATATCATTTACGATGAAACAGAAGGTCTTCATAATGAGACTGCTTGATTAATTGCAAACCGAAGAAAGAGGTGACCAAAAAAGTGCTCAGAAGGGGTAAATAAAGCAAAAAAAGCAGTTGCCCCTACTTTTTACTCAATGGGATGGGCTTCTTGGGGAGGAGTAATGGGACAGATGGTTCAACATATGGTGAGGTGGGAGTGACAGTAGAAATAAAGCATTTAAGCCTTTTCAGGAGTAGCCGTTCTTTTGAAATCAATTTCTTTTATTCACAGTGTGTTGCAAATAATAGTCTATGCCGAATGTTGAATGAAGCCAACCAATAGGTTTAAAGAAGGAAGAGGAGCATAAAAACGCATTACTATGAGTAAAGCTCATTTTGTCGAGTCTGGTCTGCCAATAAATTTGGAAGCAAGTCAAATTCATTCCTTCAAGTGCGATGAATATCTCAAGTATGTCTTTCAATACTGATTGCAAAGTAGACAGTAAGCAATTTTCCCATTGTGGAATTTGAAATTGGCATAGGAATCCATTTGAGTATATCTTAATTTGCGACAAATTCCCAAATGAGAGTTTGTCCAAACAACTGACTAGTACAAACCTCAGGCATTTTGGCCGAGTCGCAAATGATTGCTAGGAATGGGAACAAACCTAAACAACACAACTATCCTCTCTAAATCCGGGTGATTGGGGCAGTTTATTACAGAAGCAGTGGCTGAACAGTCATCCTTACATGTGATGCTGCAGTGGTTTGGAGAATAGTCTTTACCAGCAGCAATTTGCCCACTTCCTGAACCTTCAAACTAAATGCATTGCGCTGTAGCAATTGCTGCCCTGTTTCCCGATCCACACGCATCAGCTTCAGCTTCGGGATGTGGTTCCTCTTGAAGGGATAGAAGTCACGCACATAGTGATTGGAGTTTCGTATGATGTCTACAAGTAGAGGCAGTGTAGGGGACTTTGATACATTAAACATTTAAACAGATAAAATGATAGTATAGTCAAATGATGTACTTTTATTTTTGTAACGATGATAGGCTATTTCATACTCCTTTCCAAACCGAATAGGCAAAACAGCTTTAGGGTTGAGAGGTTCGGGTTGTGTTGTTCAATTTTCAGCTATGCCAAAAAGTACTAAGGAATGGTCTTCAATATATTTGCTGAATTGTGAATAACATCTTTGAGTAATGGTGCCTGTGTTTATTATGAAACGTCGCCTTACACAAGTGTCAGTTCACTCGGTAACATGACTTGTAAGAAAAGGTGGTGTCAAGAGAATATTTACGTTAAATGTATACATTTGAAACACAAGTTTTTTCCAGATGATTATCCACGTATTGTAAAAGCATAAGCCTTTAAAAGAAAAAAATGTCGATGCAAAGCATTCTCCCTTATTATTATTGAAAAAGGGAACCAAATAGAGATACCCATACATTACATGTGTAGCGATAGGTTTAGTGAACCATCTCTTCACTGCTGCTTTTGCAAAGGCAAATCACAGCGCTGCCACTATAGCACGTGCCGTAAAATATTTACTGAAGAAGGCAATATATGTAAAAAATAAATGCTACGTTCACTGCTTCTGATAAAAGATGTAGAAAAACAGCATTCATTAAAGAAGAGTGCTATTAGACTTGAGGGAAGGAGTGGCTTCGATGCGTGTACAATGGGACTAAAAATTTTACTTTGCAAAAAGCAAAACAATAGCTCACTTGAACGATCATCACAAAGCACATGGAGGTGATATTCACTGTGGGGCATACCATTACCCTCGAGTGCCTCAGTCAGAATGTCGTTGAATCGGTAGTCCTATAAGGGCAAATGAGGGCACCGCTCTCTCAAGCACTTGCTCACAAGGGCATATTTGTGGAATTTCTTCGGCTAACTGAAAACTAAAATCAGTGCTCCCTAAAAATTATTGTTGGTTCGACTGAATCAGAAGTGTTTCATTCGAATTAATCAAAAAAGCATTTTCGATATTTCTACTTCCCTTGGCAAAGAAACTATTTAATTATCCTTAAGGTGAAATTACGGCTTAATTAAATGGCTCCTGTCCGGAGGAGCCATTAATCTTCATCTAGGCAGGATGTGAAAAGTCACCTTAATGTTAGAGGGGAAAGTTATTCGCCTTTCTGAATAATGTAAAGCACTTGTCTTGCTTTAAGAATAACCACAGTTAAAAGTGAGCATGGAGTAAAATTAACCAAATTCTGCATCGAAATTGGCGCATATTGCAATTGACAGACATATCTTAAGATCACGAAGGAGCAATGAAATAACCGCCTACTTTGTTATCGTCTTGCAGTTTCACCAGCTGAGCCACACAAATGGTGTCACAGAAAACATTAAATTGTTTTGCGCATGGTAAGTTAGCCGTCACCAGAAGAGTTGACTAAAATGAAGAAAAAAATAAGCGTATATAGTGACCAAAAAATTTGTTCAGGGCTTTAGGATGGATGCTTTTATGCAGACAAAGTTGCTTTTGCTTCGCTTGGGTTTCCAGATGCAAAATCTGACGCGACAAGAGCTCCACTAAAATTGGGATTGAGAAGCTGCAACAGAATTAACCAACTCTAGGAATCAGAACCTGGTGCTGGAGGAGCTCACTTTACCCGTGTTTAGCAAAGAACAGCGGCAGCACCCACTATGAGGTAAACTTTTTTATCTACTGCATTTACGATGACTGCCGGATATTTCCAATTGTTGTGCTGAAAAAAATGCTAAAAACCTCATTAGAATATGGCACTACTTGACCTCCAGATGGCGAGACGAAGTGTCCAGCAGAACAAACATAATGCATCACAAAAATAAACAAATGCTTCAACAGCGCGTTAAAAAGTGATAGCACTTGAGCGAAAATGTTTTGTGGAGTGAACTAATTGCTACCCAATTTTACAGTCTTAAAATGCTGCCAACTTTTAGTTAGTACAAAAAAATGATAGCCTACGTCAATTTGCTCGCGACGAAACGTTTGCTTCAGGTCCTTGAAGTAGATATTCTTGACATATGGGATGATCTGCAAGAAGGTGTAAAATTACCACTTTAGGTCATCTGAATGTGAGCAAAGAAGTGGCGGCACGTGAAACTCACCATATGCAACACACAGAGAATACTGGCTATGGAATCTGGAGCATCGAAACTCGGGGTCCGAACGTGAAACATTATGCAACCAACCTAAGAAAAGATGTATACACTTTTGGGTTGTTTGTTAGTATTCATCCCACCACTTAACTGTTACCTGGTGTACTGAAAATTGAGTTAAATGTATTCACTGAAATTTCCCAGGAAAGGTCTTTTTGTCTTTATTTTCCCACATTTGTACTAGGGGGTACATGAGTCTAACCTAGCAGTAAAATGCAATGCCTCTTATATTGATGATAAAAATCTATTGCTGATCGTTCAGTGCAGTCTGCAAATTATCCACCACTTCCTTCAAAGAATGCAAGTATTTCTTAAAGGATTAGTCCATTTATAAAATCACCAAATTTTTCAAAGGTACCACCTAGCATTAAATTGAAAAGGTTTCCAACCCCTACTATCAATATATATATCGGAACAATTTAGCAAATAGCAAGGCCCCGTGATTTCCTCGTATTTAAGCAGCAACCACAAGCCGAATTTCCCCTTGAATCAAAAACAATTACAAAGATGTACAGTCAAGTAATTAGTTTATACGTTTGACTATCACTATCCCACTTTACTTGTACCAGGTTGTTAGGCGGTAATTACCAAGTTGTTGAAGAGAATGTGGGCCGTTTGCATTGGAAGTTCAGGAAGACGTTGGACGAGTTTTCGAATAACCGAGATAAGGTCATCCTTATGGGGAACCCTTGTGAGTTTCTCGAAGATATACCGCAAAAAGAGGCTTGTGTCTTCCAAAAGACATTGCCAAATAACTGTCTCGGCTACGGTGCTCACTTGGAATCAAAAGACAAAGAGGACGTTGACTAGTTAATAACTTAACAATAATAGGTTACGAGAATATGTATGTTGCTGTTGGAATTTTGTGTTGAATAAATAATAGATGGTAAATAATGCAGAATTGTGTGATATTTGAATGAAGGTTTAAACATCCTTCAACAGACGTGACAAACAAAAAGTTCTTGCGGTCATTTTGACAACAGCATAAGCCTGTTTGGTAGAGACCTAATTTGAAGCAAATTCTATTAATCTCCCTAGGCTATTTTGACTTAAAGTGCCAATTTTTAAACGAGGCGGATCAGAATCACGAAATTTGCATGGTAGCAAAGGCTGTGCCATTTGGAAGCAAAAGTAGGGGGATACTATTTGTAAGTTGCAAGAATAACTAGCCCCACAAAAAGGGTATGAAGCAAATAAATTTTGGCAATACACAGGTTGTTTTTTATTTAGAACAAAGTCGCATGAATTCTACTGGCTCTTAACACTACTTGAGCCTGACCATAGCAGGCCAACTTGCACTATAGCTTGTGAAATACTAGTCCCTTCACAAATAGAATGCCTATTTTACAGCTCTATTTAGTGATTAGAAATTCGCTTAGGATCTGCGACTTTTCCTTCAAACGTACTATTAGACCCAATTTATCTGTGGCAGCAATCTGCTGAGTTTTGAATTAAGTGTACAAAATGTTTTAAATCCACAATAACAATTACTTATGTAGGCGTTGAATGAGGCAAAGCGCATCAACTCATATTTGGTCTTGCATTTTTGGGGTGTTTTTCTAAATAGCTTACATTTCTCTTGCTTAGGACAAAACTGTAAACACATTCGGAACGCGGTTTAATTAATTTACCTCCCAGCATAACTGCCTTCCTCATGGAGAGATTATGTCTGAAAGACGTACCTGCTATGCCCTCGTTGTTTACCGCGCAGTCATCCATGAGATTTGTGAGAGGCAGAGTGGCAGCACATATGCAGGAGGGGAAGAAGGTCTGTGCCATTTTCAACTGATGGGTCAAAAGCATTGAGGTGTTACTGATTCCTGCCTCGTCATCTATTGTAGAGAGTAGTAAAAGAAAAAGTGTGCATAAATTCTATGTCCAGTAAACCTTACGGATGCCGCATTTTCCAATAACTTTTGCATTTAAGCCTCAAACTCAGCAAATCGAAACGAATGCAACACTCTCCCATTCCCGATGTTCAAGTTAAGGATTCACTACGATAATATAAATTTTAAGCATGTTTATGCATGCGTGTTTTGTGTTATCTAATTTCGCACAAGTTATGACTTACTGGATGAACGGCTCTTTCAAATAAAATAGGGGTTACATGAACAAATATAGCTTGATCCTTCTTGTCGAGTTCCAATTCGTATCATAGTGCTTCTGGACAGCTTGTATTAGCAGTTTGTATTTTCTGAGAAAGAGTCATGCAGATAGCGATATCTTCAACATTTATGGCCACGAGTCACGCGATAACACTCAGTGCTATGCTCTCGATCCGGTAGGAGATATAAAGGAGCTTAAATCGAAGTTGAAAACAAAAGAGCATCGACAATTACACTCACAAGCGCTAAAAGTTTAATAAGAAGGGGGAAAACTGATTACCCCCATCGTTGTAAACTGTGCGCTGAAAAGACTATTGAGTGGAATCTTCCAACAGTACTAGATGTTAACCATTGGCAAGGAGCCTGATGTAAGTGAATTAGTAAGCTATGAAATACCTGCTTGATACTCCACGGCGCTGCAACTAGGATGTAAATCAATTTTTGGTCTCGAAGTCTGATACATTCCGAGTGAAACAGACTGCTGCTAGAAGCATACGCTTAGAGACCTTACAAGCAAAAGTTTTAATTCAAAACCAAAGATCGCTCTTTTTACTTCTTCACCTCTTTGAATCTTGTTTCCCGATGCAGTTGTGAAAATTATGCCGAAAACCGGCTGCAGTGCTAGCGCGGATGTTCCTGCCTGAACTTCACAGACAAATTGTCAAAACCTTTACGTTCATTTAAAAAACAGTAAAGTTTATAAAATCGCAGAAAAAATTAATATATTGCAAGATTACAACAACCGTTTGGAATGCGTAGGAGTGGAATTTAGTAACAACGTCGGGAGTTAACGATGAAAAAAAACGAACCATCGGCGAGGGTAACATTGTCTCGAAACAATGGGAATGATCCATTTCGCCAAGAAAAACTTCGCGCTTGCAAGTTAAGACTTCGATTCATCGGTGCGAAACTGACTTTCCTCGCCGCTAGGTTGAACTCCTCCTGCACCACCGAATTTGCCATCCCGATGTTGCCTGTCGATGAGCAAAGATTTATTTGAATTAAAGTTTTCATAAATTGAAACCCGCCTGAAATACCAAAACCTATTCAAGTTCTCGTGAGAATAAGCACCATCAAAAACTCTTTTGTGTGAGATTGTCAATATAATGCCCGCCGTTTGGAGGTGGTTTGAATAGAATGGCTCCATTTAATCATGAACGTTGATGTGAACTATTGACAATTGAATGCTCACTAGTGAAGTTTCCTAGGTGGAAAAGAGAACTGACTGAAAGGACGGTCTTCCTCTTACATTGCACAACTCCTCCAAAGTACTGTATCAACCAACGGAAATACATTTAATTTTCTATGGATGCACGCATTTTGGATGGGTCATGAATTGTAAATAGCAGTAACAACGAATAAAACAAGAAAGGAACTAAAACGGGTTGTGAATAAAGAGAGAGGGAAGCATTTACCAGGAGCTAGCTTACTTTTATGCTTGTCGACTCTTCCCGTAGGCTCTCACCTCTGACTGTGGGAAAGGTTTAGCAGGGGAGAAAGGAGGTGTGAATGAGAGAGAAGGGCAACAAGTATTACCCAACGAAGGCAACTTTTTTCGTGAAAGTTTAAAAAATTAAAGGGGACACGTAAATACTTAAGTCCACTTCTGCATGTGCATGAGCACACAATTACCTTTTCATCGCCAAAAGCCTCTGATTTGCAAATTTACCACTTGTTTCTTAAAACTGCAAGCTTAAAATCCGAGATGCATTTGGCAAAATCCAAATATGTGAAAATATACGTAGAACTAAGGAAAATGCAATTAGCTTCAGAATACACCACTAGAGTTTAATATCTATTGGGGAAAGAGCGACCGAATCCGAATCAAATGCCATAACTTTGCAGAGAACACGTATCAGGCGCTCCGCAAAGCATATTATCACTCACACACAGACGAACACGTTGTGCCTCTATCATCGGACGCAAGTTTTAGCCAAGCTAATCGTGCTGAGACACAAATCCAGGAGATTTCACGCAGCACGCCACTTACTCCCAGTTGTTGTCTTGCCAAGGCGACATACAGCGGCGCGAGCTCACTTTACAAGATCCCAATCGAAGAAAGCCGCATATGGCAGCTAATTCGGCATTTGCTTTTGTGCAAAGGTAAAAACACGCTTTTGTGAAGAAGTCTGAGTAGATGTTGTTGAATAGGTTCTACCAGTAAGATTCAGCAGAATCTATGACTTTATAGTCTCATTCGATAAATCGCAGTATGTCTGCGTTCTTTTAAGTTCGCTCATAAATTGAGGTTTTTTCCTGCTGAACCGTCAAACTTTGTCTTGGAATTCGGAAACAATTCGTTCCCAAATAAGTACAACCATCGTAAAAATTGATAGTGGCTCATTTTGGGCTAGAATGGTTATTAAATTCCAACGACCATGTCTCAGTACAATTGAGAATGAGCGCGATTGTGCCACCAGAAGATGTGAGCAGTAATACTAAATTTCACAGGAATAATAAACGCCTGTACTGCTATCTTTTATTATGCTTTCGACTTGTGGAAATTTCGTCTGTTAGTGCACGCTTGCTGAGGTTTAGTGGGCGCTTGCGCACAGAGAAACGTGATTCCCGACGCAATTTCTACCTGCTTACCTATCCCGCCTCCCTACCTGCTGCAATGGCAGCATTAGTATCACCAGCAACAGCTGAAAACATCTGTTCACCGTCTAGCCACGGATGACATTTGATGATTTTTGGCTCACTGAGCGTGTCGCATTTAAACACACAGGAAACCGCTTGCCAGAGTTTCATCACCGTTTTCTCTTTCATCAACTAAAACAGACAAATTATGAATTAAGATACGTGTGGTAAAAGAAGGGTTCGATCAACATTAATTTGTTTTTTGTGTAAAACTGGGAGTCCAGTTAAAGGCCCATAACATAAAATGTAAAACTTTCATCAAGTACATCGAATGAGCTTAAACGATGAGCAATTCTTAGGGTAGGAGCAGTCACATTACCTGCTTCGAATCTCAAAAGATAGAAACCCATGATGTTAATGGAAGTTATAATATTTACTGAACAGAACTTGAGATGAGCGGTTTCGAAAGCGCAAAATTCTCTCTGCGAATAGGAAGTCCCCAAATAGTAAGTCAAACATCCCCGGAACACTTCTATAGATTGTGCGAGAGATGGGAACAAAATGGTATAACAAAAGCGTAACTTTGCGTCCTTATTTGTGTGGAAAATTCTCAGAAGTTTCATGTGCATATGTTAAGGTAATGCTTCAGTGATCCGTCCGTAAAGTAAGCTGACTTACAGTCCTGACTTGAAGTAAACGAGCAACGATTGAAACGAATCAAGATCTAAAAACGCTCTTAAAATTCACTTTTTACTTGGGATTGTAGCTACCAGGGCTATACACTTTATTATAATACTTTATAAAAATATTCAGTTGCATTTTTGCTGTGTACTTCTTTTATAGTCCTAATAATAATGGTGCATTCATACACGTTAAATTATATCACTGTATCACATATATATGCCTTGTAATGAAAGCATTCAAGGCAAAGTAGTTGTAATCTGTATTTGAAATTAGTAGTTGAAATTTGTAATAGGTTACCTTAAAGTAATCTATAGGACGAGATTGAGTAATTGCTCAACGTGCTGACCCATGTTTTAAAGTTCAGTGGTTATATGGGCAGATTTCAACACCTAAACGAGTACACGAATTTGCATAGATGAAGAGGGTAAAAAAGGCAGAAGTGATCACTTACCATCTTCGCCACCACCCGCCTCGTCGCCACGGTGGTCTTTGGAGAAGACGGCCTCGGTAGCGGCCAACTCGAGGATGGAGGATGTGGTAATGTGAAAAAGGCTGCGTGCCTCGTCCCTTGCCAACTTTGCCGCTGTCACCGCGCGCGCCAACAACTCCTGCTGTTGTTTCCTTCGACTTGTCGAGGCCGTCACAAATGTTTTCTAGAGACACCAACAAATCTCAAAGTCGGCTCTGTTCTCCATTATGCTCAACGTTCTGCTATTTGTCTTTTAATTTATCAATCCTTCTCGATGGATTTGAAAAGCCTGAGATGGTTAATTATTGAACTCTTAATGACTATCTAGAAATAATTCACATCTTACTAACTAATGGGATCCTGATCTCTAGTAGTGCCAAAAATAAAGCCACTGTGTTGTGCACACAACAGGAAAGTTAGCTGTAAACAAATAAAAACCGGTCGATGTGTTGCTACTTTTGTCGTTCCAGTTAACAATGAAACAATGAGACTAAAATTCCAAATCAGTTAGAAAAGTCGCTAGCTCCTGGCAATAGTTTAAGCTTATATTATCAACTAACTTGCTAATTGTAAGAATTTATATTCATATTTGAACATCGGCCTTCATTTTATGCCTTTGCTGACTGGAATACGGGCCTGATTGCTCCTGCATCTGACCAGTGCTCCGTATTAGAATGGTCAGCCAATGGTCTAATTTTCTGCTGAAGAAATCAAGGTCGTCAGTGGACTCACAGTGGCCTCGTTTTGCTTTAGTTGCACCTCTTCTGCCAAGGTGCCCTTGCGGGTCTCCCAGGCGGGATCGGGGACTTGAATGGAGGGGTTGCCGAGGGTGGGGGAGGGCAGCACATACTCGATCAGTGGTGGTGGTACCTTCAGGCACTGACTCGCACCCTCCTCCAGACGAGACCAAACCTGCTGCCGCGCCGTCCACAGTGCTCGGAACCTGTAGGTGGGCTTTGCAACGATAGAACTTTGTGGTATAGTCGAATCAATGCAAGTTTTGATTAAATGATGATTAAACAAATTGTGCTGCTACCATAAACTACCAAAAAAACCTCCTACTTGTGCACAAGTGCTCAAAGCACAAGTGGAAACTCAGTCAAATGAACCAATACAGCACCTCTCAACTGCGTAACTGGAAATGATTTGCATATGCATCAAAGTGGGGGCAAATCATTCACCTTAGAACGGCGTTTAGGCGATTATTTAATTCCGCGTGTTGAAGTTCTGTATAGAGAAGCTTTTGGACGAAGGCGGAACATTTTACAGCGGCAAAAAGAATTAGAGACGCTGAAATATTTAGAAAAAGATGTAACGTGATGTTCGGGTTGGAGGCAAAGAACTCATTACCCTCCAAGGTGAATAATCTCGCCTACCCGCACTACTGATCAGTTCAGGATCGGCTTCTAGTAGTAGCTCCCAGGCAAGTGGAACCACTTCTTCCAATTGTTCTGACGAGAGCAAAAGTGCTCCCTTATTGAGAAGGTTGAAGAAACTGCTGCGCAACGATTGGACCTATGATTATAGTAGAAATACTTGACATTTCCAAATATTCTTTGATAAAAAGTGACCAAAGTCGTCCTATTTCCCATAACTGTTAGTATTCTAGGCGCTGCTGTTAAAAAATGTCAAACATATTATGCTGAAAAAAACAAACTGATGTGTTTCAATAAATCGTCTGAGATTCACAAGAAATAGTAACGCTTTTTGGGGCTGCCCAACACCTATCACTACTTGCTGTTATGAGCATTTATTCTAGCTAGAGGTCACTTCGCGAAGCATGAATTTGTATTCATAAGTTTAGACGATGTATATCAAGCAGATCATTGAGGTTTAAACCTTAATAAAGTGTAATAGTGTAAAAAAAGTAGTTAAGCGTTTCACTTCAGGGCATACGTTGAAAAACCGCGGCGATAAATTCTGCAAGTACTATGCGGAACAAACGGATGAGGTGACACCATCAGTTCCATGGACCAAACTTGTCGATAAGGGACGGTGGTGTCACATTAATCGCAAAACCTTCATCAATCTACCCATGAGGTATTCATCCTTGATTAATAAAGTGAATGCACGTCAAATGAACTGAAACCATTCACAAGGATATTTTTATCAGTCGACAAAATTAAGACACGTCACTTTCAAATTCAAGCCGTTTAATTAATCATAAAAATATTTAATTAATGTGGTCGCTCACCGGGAAATTCAAACCTTAAACCAGGCTTTCTTTCACGAAGTTTAATTCATTCAACCTGCTTTAATACGTGTTTCACACATTAATTGTGGTCACGGAGTAGTAAAACTACCTGAGTATCCAGATACATAAGCTCGGGTGAATCGGTCTGATGAGCCAGAGGTCGGACTTTGGTTTTGCCGAACTCGGCCGCCTCCGACTGACCGTCGTCGCCCTCGACGGAGAGCATGGTCCCACTAGCTAAACCACTCTTCACCGCTTCCAGCAACCGCACTAGGGAAGGCGAGGAGTTTGCCGCGGCGAGGCCCGTGCCTGCGCCGGCTAGGAGACTGAGATTCATGAGGCTCGAGAGCCCTCCGGGACCGCAAAAACCGCCGGTGCCACCGTCGTCAGAGATAAACGCTCCGGAGCCGCGTTTTGGGGTGCCCTTGCGTCGAAACCGGTCAAATATGGGTGTGGTAGCCTCTCGCCAGCCTGATGTAAACGCCGAGGATTCCTAAGACAAAAAATTGCTATCACCTGCAGGCTTGCATCTAACTTCATCATCCCTCTCACTGGCACTTAATGTTAAAAAAGATCAATCGGTTTCCGACTGTTACACAAGCAAAGCACTAAATGCTCGAACAATGGAATTGGGATTTTTATATCACATATGGAGAATATCCAAATACCATGTTAGTGAGGATTACTTGTTACTCGTGCATATGTATCAACTGTAGTTGAATTACCGTCTTGATGCATATAACTAATTTTGCGCAATCATGCACTGTAAATTCAAGCACATGCATACTTTCCAATCTAGATTGACCTCTAGAGCCGTCTGTTTAAAAGTCTTCATGCCTGCTAAACATACCTTTGTTTCAGAGACCTTATAATGTGCGTTATGTAGTGCCTTATAGGCGGTCAACCACAAACGTTTAGTATCAATCCGTGCGTCAGTTGTTTTTGCTTGAAGGTTCTAGAAGCACACGGAACAGCGATAATTTCAGCTTTTAATGAACTATCAATCAATGAAATTCAGCTAAAATAACCTTAACCTCGAATCACATCCTAACTTTTAATTGAAGCTTTATTTCGGCATCATACCTGACGACTGCCTACGACACATTAAACAAACCTTTCTTTTAGCATTTCTGGTAAAGAAAGTATTTCTTTTATCCTGATGACCCCGTCCACCAAAAACGCGATGCAAAATAGATGCAGAGGTCTCTAACTCGGGATCACCACCTCCAACACCGAAAGCGCTCATAGAGGCTGGACCAGCTCCACGTAGGAGAGGAGCAGGATTGAGAGCGAGTCGAAGGAGGTCCTCTAACCCACCGGTCCCCGTGATTTCCTGATCGGAGTCGTTGACTTCGTCTGAGTAGCCAGACTCCTCTTCCTCATTGCCAGCACCACCAGCACCACTGAAGGGGTCGGGGATGCACTGACAAGATGTGCTGCCGCCGCCATTCCCAGAGCGTGCATCCGAGGTGGAGATTGTGTCGCTCACTGTTCCGCGGACTCGTCGACCCTCCGGCAGGTCGTCCACAGACCGGATGAAACTAGACTCGGTAGTGGCCGAATAGACCTGGCGGATGGCTTGAAGAAGTGACCGCAACTGTTGTTGCTGGCGATCAAAGCAGTTAGCCTCGCACTTGGGCTGATGTTTGCAGCCAAAAGTTGTCCTTCGGAAAACCAATAGACCGGCTTAAAGTTAATGGGTGGCGAAAAATTCATGAGAATCATCCTTAAAGTACGCAATTCGACTTCTGCTTTTAAATCATCATTTACCTGTGGCAGAATTAATTGCTTTTCGTGATAAGAATATCGGAATGAGTTGTTTACTAAAATACCACCAGAATTAATGCGTTCGCATCATTTGAAATTTCAAAGAGAATTGTGTCAATCCTCAAAATGTGTGCACTATACAGTAATCAGTCGGGTTGAGAAGATGCACCATATTGTATAAAATTTGGCTTGTTTAAGAATTAAGCAGAGGAACAGTTAGGCTTGTTAAATAATATTTGTTGCAAAATGTAGTATATTTGTATGGGTTGAGTTTCATCGGCTATATGTATATATCTCACGGAGATTACAGACCTTTTCGCGAAGGCAATAACAGCTGGTATCCATGGCATATTAGATGAGTAGAAGTCAGCCACATGTGTTTGGTTTTGTGCACGCGAAGACGACGAGCGAGAGGGATCACGCACTGCACCGAGGGAAGTGCGGCGTCGGTCCCGGCGGGGCGAGCGTTTGCTGAACTCAAGTTCGGCGTTATGCTCTGGGCAGACAAGGGCCTCGCCGCTTTCGGAGCGCCGTCCCCAAGCGTTGGCAGCTGAAGGCGCCTCGGGACGGAGGCTGGCAGAGGTAGACGACGAAGGTGGTAGCGCGTGACGACTTGCATGGCTCCCGTAGGCTCCGCTCGTTCCATCGTCTAAGCTGGAGTCGCCCGCCACGCCTTCGCCTCCAGAGGTGCTGGCACGCGATGACATGCGACGCAGGCCTGCAGGAAGTCTCTCGGGCCAATAACACTACAGCATGATATGCAATCTCCTCCCCTATTAGCATAAGTTAAGGAAATTTTGGGTTTCGATTCTTTCAATCGCATATGCTCATTCTAATGTACTGAATGGTGAGTGAAAAGGATTGGGATTTAGACAGTTACTTTAATATTTAACAAAGACATTTTTCAACAAGGTTGCGCTTTTTCACATGCGTAGTAAGTGCATGCATCCTATCAGATAGAAACCTGATGCTATCTAATAGATTTATGTGAAATATGTAGTCGGTGTGCAAAGCGAACATTTTGGGCCACCATTTATTTTGAATGGGAACAAAGAAGCAGTTAACAGAATTACAATTTTTTGATATGAGCACTACTACATAAGTACGGCCAGTTCTTCTGAATCCAAGCAAAAATTGTAGAAAATTGAATCCTCCCAGTCCCAGTAATGGTTTATATTTCCAAAACTCAAACATTTCTTCCCCATTGCTAAATATAGATACGTTTAACTGAAAATCCCTCGCTTTCAAAGCTTCACAAAATGAAAAATGTGTGAAACGGCCTTTGACAACAAAATAAGGTAATTGAGTCATACAATAGGCTGCTAGCGATTCCGTCAAATACCTAACTCTATGATTTGCCAAGCGTTAATTTTAGGATTCAAATATCCTGGCAGCAATTTACTTAAGAATCCTCCTCCATTAAGTCGCACGAAACAAAAAGAGGAAAATGACAAATCCCAAACTGGAGCTGAAATCGACTAATTAAAATAACTGACAAGATAAGCATTGAATGTTTGAACTACAGGTAAAGATACTTAATTGTATTGTTTGATACATAAGGGCAGCTAAGGACGCACACGGACACTTCCTGACAGATGTAGGTCCACTGAATGGTTAAGTTCAAGGCCTCTTTCTTTCTCCATCATGAGACTAACTAGGATGAAAACATCTTGAAACGTCAGTTAATTGGCATTTCAATGTTGTCTTTGGCCACGAATTGCCCGAAAATGCAAAATTTTGCATCCAACCCTATGCTTATACAGCTCTACCAAACGCCAAGAATTTGAAAAAAAAGTGCAGCAAAGCATTCGGTGAAGCTACTTAGCCGAATCTGTTCACAAAGCACACACAAAGGTTCTATCGCCCAATCCTACGGTCAGTCGAATAATTAATGAAGTAGAGCTGGATTCGGAACATTGGTAATATTTTCTTCGTTTAGCAGCAAAATTTGCAGATCCCTAGACACTATTTCTACTCAACTGCATAGTATCGTCGCACTGTGATTAGCATGAAAATTTATTCGAAAAACCTAATACATCAGAAATTTTCCTTGAATACAAAGGCATCCGCATGCCACCTACTTGATATCCGTCTAAAAATGGATGCTTAAGTGTAAAATACGTCGACTTAATACATATAACGCTCCTAATTTTATTGGGCTTGATTCTGACAAGCCAGCAGTCAGCATTGCCACACCCATGCCTTGGCTTGATGTGAGTGCGTATATTTGTTTTTTTGGAAAAGTACTATGCGTGTTGACAGAACGCCTAGTCAACTCTACCTGGTGTGACCTGCACTGTGAGGTCACAAAAAGGACTAAAATGGCGTGCGTGCACACGTGCAAGCGGGCATGCAGGTGGAGAGGCAGGCAGAGGTAAGTCGGCGACACCACCACCACGGTTGATGGTAGAGCTGTCCTGTCCCTCTCGCGTGATCATAAACCTGAGGACGATATGCTATCTGGTCCGTTGGTCAATGGGTTGAAAAATTCGTGTTGAAATGAGGTGAAGCTTTGTTTCTTATCCTTACGTGTTGACATTATTCAAAGTCATAAAATGCAAATGAAATCAACGTTAGGAGAAACAGGTTAAGTTTTATTTACCAGTATAGTACTTTGTCACGTTTCTTTCTGTCTATGGACGCTTTGAGGGTTGGCCGGTTGTAGAAGCAAGAACCAGAACGACAGCCCAAGGCAACGACTTAGATTTTATGCATCCAAATTTCTTCGTTCTCCGCTTGAAAATTCTTCGGTGCGAGGTTATTTGAGGTAAAACGCCACTGTTACCTCCTTTCCACGCTCAAATCACTCGGCATTGCAGACATAATAACAAAGCGGCTTTGTCCCTGTTTCTAATTCCAGGAAATTTTGATTTCCAATGTGACGAAAAGGAGAAATTTAAATAACAACATTGAGGAACGACAGCAAAGTCATTAAGTTGGTGTGGTGTTAAAATTAACTGCTCTTGATGCTTTTATTGTCGCAATACTTGCGTGAGTTCAAGGAATTTTCAGAATGTGTTTTCGGAAGTGGTCTTTTTTGACATATTTCGTAAGATGTGTTTATTTCATTGAATTTTCAGTCTTATAGATGCTCTTTAGAGCTAACTAGTGCCATAAGATTCCATTTGAAATCTACAAGAAGCTTATGAGTGTAATCCAATAACAAGCGAGAACACGAAATGGGGTTTCGGTCGATCCACTTGACTGGAATCATATTACTTTTTTAAGTTTAAATTTAACGACTTATTGGAGTAATTCATCTATCTTTACCACGGTAGTATGCTTAAATTGGTAAGAGAAATGCAAGAATTTTAGGAATAATAAATTGCAGAATGCAATATTGCTCCACGTGAATTAATAAAACAAATAAAAGGCAAATGGGAGGAAATATTTTCCTAATCTTTTCCTTACCACCTTCCGTTTTCGCTGACCGGGGATTGCCCATAAGAGAGGAGAGTTGGAAGGACTGTCGGAAACTCCCAGAGCGCTGGCGTTTTCGGGTCAAGCTTTTCGAGACTGGTTTGCGTGCTACAGCAGGCAATAATGGAATACGTTTAGCTTATCGGCTACCCATGGTGGCGAAATTTTAAATATATCGGCGGAATTAGTGAAAAGATATTAATAGACATTGTGCGGACCAGAAAAGGCGCTGTTTTTGTGTTTCTCTTTTAACTGTAGTATTGGCGAAGGCTGTCTAAAGGTGTAGTCCCAGTCACAGAAAGTGTTGTGCATTGATATTCTCTGAATGATTTGCTAAATCCCAATTCTCTCTTCTCGAGAAAGAATAAAGAATTTGGGAAGATTTGATCAGGAAAATAGTTAAAAGGCTGAGTTAACCACAGCAAACAAAACGGAAAATGATCAGACCTTTACCTTTTTTTATAATGTCAACGGTTTCTAACTATGCGATTTAAATAACTTATGCCCTATTAAATACTAATTGCTTCAAACCTATAAGGATAATGCTCAAGGTATTAAGGCAATTTTTACCTTGTATCACAGGAGTCCAGTAATACTTGCAACTAACGCCACCTATGAAAAATAATTTCGCGTCATTGGAAGAAACCTATGCTCTCAGTGTCCACTTTCAAAATAGTTTTATTTCTACTTCTCTTTCAAATGGGTTCGTTCTTGAGCGATCGTTGAGGTGGGTAGTGGACCGCAGATGTCAGCTCATATTTTCGAGTCAAAGGTTCTACTTAAGTTTTCCACGTTAATTGGCTTGTAATTGTGCCTTGAAAAATCGCCATTTATACCCCGCGAGGCAACAGATTGACCAAAAATTTAAAAGAAATCATTAGCTTTCTTCTTTGTTTTCTACTGCTTCCCACTTTGGGCTTTGTTTTTCACTAAAAGTGAAGATAATGAATTAAATTTCCAAAGACTTTCATTGAATGAAATTAAGGATAATACATTATGACAAGTGGTCACTGAAGCTTGAGACGAACCAGAGCCGTCACAATCGCTTAACCTTGTATTCATATCACCATAGCCGTTAATTGTTATAACCTCAATTCGGTAGAGTAGGCCAAAACTTATTCACCTTGAAATATATGAAAAGTTGGGGTACAAGTGGGGAGGTCTTTTGAATTAAAGGCAAAGGATTTGATTGATTGATCCCTGAGTGGGTTCAGTTGCCCACTTTGTGGGGGGCGTGTAAAGGTGTCGACCGAATGCGCAACTTGAATTATTCCTTAAAGCATGAAATCCAGTATGTTCTTTTTAAAAACTATTTTCTGCGGTAAATATTCACAAATAGACCTATTATAGTGTACCATAAAAAATCATACGAGTTTTGGAAGCTTAGATTGTGAATGGTTCTTTTCAAATAGGCTGCAAGATCACTGACCAATGACTCCTGCTTATGATTTCTGGGCCTGTTTCGTTGACATTCAGTATCAGTAAATATCCTTTCAAGTGCAGTAACAGGTTTTTGTTTGGATTTGGCTTTGGGGAACCCGTGAACATTAAACAACTGGAAAAATCCTCGATTAGTATTCCAATTTCTCTAGGATTAGTCATTAAGGCAAATTATTTTTTGTGGATTTTCTTCCGAAACAGCGCTATGTACCTTATTCAACCGATTATCAAAGTTGCCTCATCATACATGGTGTTTCCCATGGCTTAGTCAGGTTTCGATGTAATTGAGTTGAACACATCCAGTATGTTGAAATACAACGTTTCGGTGCAGAATATCACCGCCACGCTAACCGAAAATTTGGATATCTTATCAGTTTATGGTGTCGATGATTCAATGGGCAAATTTGGCTGTTTTGATGTTCTACATTCCAGAAAATAGACAAAACAAAGGATTTCAGTGAGTCTTTCATCGTTTCATGCGACTTTAGGTTCTTCTGATAAATTTGGCTTCAATATTAGTGCTATTAGTCCTGCCCCTTTCTATTTTCAAAGCACATCATTCGAATTCGATAAGCCATCAGTTGACTGACACTTACGTGGTTTCCCGACAACTTCGCTTTGAATATCCAATGAAGACACACTTCCTTGGAGTGAGTTGCACCTTTCGTGGTCATTGTCATTGACGGCGAAACTGATCTGCCTGCTACTATGGCCACCAGACCCAGATAGAGGATGAATTGTTTCTATCAGATCACAATTTGGTAACGATTTCAGTACCGAGTAAAAAGCGAGGAGCTGCCCCCTTAACTCCACAAATTTTTACAGTAAGCGCGTTTAAGATATTTGATAAGGTCAATGATAAGACTCTACACATGAAACCTCACCATATTCTTCGGTGAACCTCGAGTTAGTGTCATCGTCTTCACCGCGAACGTTAGAGAGTTCAATATACACAGGGTTGTGCTTATCCTTAACCTCGGATTGCGCAAAAATGGGCATAAGGATGCTGAGACGGCGTCGGGTGGATTTTAGGGCGCCGAGTGGAGGGGCATTAGAAGCCCCAGCGAGGTTGCGGCGACCGTTTGCACCGCTGCTGCCGTCCCACTGGCTTGAGTGCTCCACTGTACGCACAGCCGCTGAGGAGGAGGCGGAGGAGGAGGCCGCCACCTGTGCACGGGTGGCATGCTGGTGCGACTCACGCAGGAAGGTAGTTATCTCGTTCAACAACTGCACCGCCATCACAAGCAACGCGTAGGGACAACTATCGCCATTCGGATTAACCGTGGCTGGGAGTGAATTCAATGGAGTTCATATGTAGATAGATTCAAAATATAGACTGGATAGATTAGATTAGATAGATGGACACATCGACAGCTTATAGTAAGAATGCAATAAAGATAGGCAGCTATGTAGATAGATAGTCCTTAATAGTGCTGAAGTTTAAGAGAGTTTTGTCAAGGCTTTCTGATTAATGAAAAGACCATAGGAGAGAAGATAAGCCCACTATTTGTCTCTTGCTACCTATTTTCTGCGAACTGTTTACATTAAGCTTGCGCTTGACTTCCACTAGTCCGGAACGCTTGTGAGTCACGCCAAATGTTAGAGGCTTTTTTACTATCCACTTATTAGGCAAATGATAGAAAATCTCACCATCATCGAGGAAGTTTTCGTCGCTCTGAAAATCGCGATTGAGATAGATTTCCGCTGAAGAATTCCCCTCTAGAAATGCCATGATGCGAATTCCTAGAGCCTGGAAATGAACAAAAGGTTTCGTAGGAGGAAATTTAAAGCACAAAACTCGCTTAACAGTGATCAAAATTACGATGAGTAGGGTGAAATTCTTGAAATGGGATTATAATGTAATGGGAGATGCAAAGGATGATTTTAAAACTCAGGTGAGTTACCTGTGTGTTAGATTAGAATTATAAAGTACGGATTTTAAGATTCGTCAAATTATTAATTTCTGTTTTAGTAACCTGAGTAAGGTGGTGGCTAAAGTAAATAGTTGAAGTAATTGCTGGTTTTTTATATTTTCAAAGTCCTAGGAGAAATGAATTCATTTTGCAACCATGGCACGTAATTACATCGTCAAAAGCTAATCCATTAAAAGGCGCAGTCTTTAATTTGAACATAAAATTTGTCTATCACATGACTTCTTCCTGCAAGTACTCATCGTCACTTTTAAAAGCCTCGCTTATTTGTCAGAATGCATGATTCAGATGCAAAAAATACGGTTTTTTAAGAGTAGTACTCAGCATGGCTGAAAAGTGTCTAAGAATGGTCAGAAATTTCCGACACCTCGCAAGGGAAAGTCAACATCACTCCAACCACTGACTGGGCAGTCTGCAGCAATTGGTCTCGACGCACAAGCTCATGAATGATTTGATGGCCATGGGCGTTAACTCATCATTGACAAAATTTCAGCGAGAGGCAATATTCTCAAGATACTTGTGAAAAAGTTATAGGCACATTTTAGCCCTTGCATTAGCAGCCCCCAATTAATCGCAATCCAAAGGCACCAACGCTCATTCTATTAGTAAGCAAATGGAAAGAATATGCAAAATGTTTTGCTAGGTATTATGCACTGAGTGGTGCATCCGAAGTGAAACCTTTTACATGCTATGTAAGGCGCTAAAATTGCAGGAAATTCGTTACAGTAATCCCTCAGTCGCGTGTTTTGACAGAGTAATCCCTACCACAGCCAATCTTGTTTTAGTAAAATTCTTCTTGTTCATTCCATTCTACTTCGCAGAAGGAATATTGGAACAATACGTATCAAAATATGGCCCAAAATCTTTTTCCTAAGCAGCAAAAGCCAGGTTACATCACACTGCCAAAAGAGATGCAGTTACATGAGCTCCTTTCGGCTCTCCCAGAACGAAAGCATATGTGGTTGTACACTCCAGTGAACCTCATTAAGTACCATTATGGCAGGTCAGAAGTGTTTCACAAAAGTCGGCTAAGCTACGACCTAGCATGTAAAGTCTTTAATACTTTTCTCATCATTCATAAAGTACGCTTAAAGAATGCTTAACAGAGAACGTGTTTCTTATTTAACGAAAAATAATGATGATCCAGCCTAAGGTACTATTGAAATGGCTGTGGCGGCCTAAATAAAGCCTGGTGAAGGAAGGTGGGAGAAGAGATTGGACCTCAGCCCAGCTGTGGAACAGGCGACCGGCCGACCACTGAATTTGTGAGGTGGTGCAAAACGCAGAGCTGTGCAGGTCGATGGAGTCAGCGCCAGCGCTGGCAGGCCCGGAAATTGAAATAGCGATGCGCTGCGAGGAGGTGGTGGATTGGGTCAGATGCTCGGCTTGCTGTATTGGCAGTGGTAGGTTGATCTTCATCCATGCTGGCCACTCGCCGCGGTTGCAGCGATGTACGAAAAAGGCACACTCTAAGAGTAGACAGGCTCTGGCCAACACCGGTGCGTTCTACCAGCAGCAATACAGTGTAAAGCAAAATATGCTTTTGATCTTTGAATTTGGACTACTCTCCGCAGGGGTATATAAAAACAAGCCTACATTATAGACTAGTTAGACGTAATTTTTTCCTGATGACTTCTGATATTTGGAAATGTTACAAGTTTGATGTCCTTCCGCCTCCTTCATCACCACTGCTTACTGTTAAAACTTAACAAATATATGTTACTAAAACAATATCTTCACATCTGAGTCCAAAGGTTGGTTCAGAAAATATGGCATAACTGCTGACTACATCAAAGGCCACCTATTACGCTTCGGGCGGTAGAAGCTAGTCAAGAAATGTCTTTTGGACGGAAAAAATCTTCAAGTGCAAATGACTTCGCTAGCTTTACGACCGATAATCGGAGATAAAGCAAACAATCTGGTAAAATGTTACCTGTCCTGAAAACTGTCTTGAATTTGTATCACCTATCGCCAGCTTTTCCATCGAAAGATAGGTGCCCTTTTGCATCGATGACTAATGAATTGAACTGCATCCTTGCCTCACTTAGTTTGTATTTTTAATTTTCAAGGCACAAAATAGGTTTTACCAAAGGCTTAAACTTATTCGTTAGGTTCTGAATTACAGAAATGGTGGCGAAATAAGCTACTCGAGCAGTGGATTATTGCCTTTCAAAGCTTAGTTATTTATTCTAATATCTCAAAATGTGGCTAATGGTAGGCCTCAAGTGGCTCACCAAATCGAGAAAAGAGGCGACTAGTTGCGGTTCTGGTAGAGTTCCAGGTTCCAAACACTCAAGAAGAAAGGCGAAATCACGCAGATTTTCCTTCAATGCTGGGAGGTCGACAAGTCGCCTTTCAATCACAGGTTTGCAGAATTTTGTCTCGACTAAATTTAATTGTAATGACATGAAAGGATATACCTCATTTCTTGTATGTTAATTTATTTATCAATAATTGTGCAATGAAATGATTGAGAAGTGTTATCATACATCTAAACTAAAGACGCCAATTTCAGATGATTTCAACTAATCATGCACGTGGTTAGCATCAAACACGAAAATGAAACCTGAGCTTCCCGAATAATCCAGTCGTAGTCATGGGCTCTTCCATAACAGGCCGAGCCACTTTGATGTGTATGGTGAAAGTATCTTTTTCTAACGATGTTGATGAAAACTTTTCTTAATTTGATCTTATTTTGCCACTAATAGCCATTTCAAAAAAGCTACTACTAAGAATTAAAAGAAAGTCGAAAGTAGCTACTCGTGTTACCTGACTTCAAATTCTGACCATGTGATCGCTTGTTCTGCAGAGCCGAAGAACAATCGCCCACATCAATAAAATCGGTTGGTGGTATAATCATTGAGGGTCTCTTGGGGGCGAATGTGGGCCACAGCGAATTCCTCGCAGAGAGCCTAATTAATAATAAGGAAATAAGATTGCGATGAAAATGACAAATCGACGGGGACTAAAACAGAGGCAAGTCAGGAAATGGCTGTATTTCGCGCAGGCTTAACTAACAAAAAATAGGGGTGGAAGTAAGATCATAAATTTCACTGAGCTTGCGTGAAGTGCAGTGTGTCAGAAATAAGAAAGCTTATACATTGAAACTAAACAAGTGATAGCATAAGATGGTGTTGATGGCTGGAGCTCTTGATTCTCATGCTGATAGTATAGTTTTATGTCCAAATTATTGTTGTTACCTCCATCAATATGTTTACAACACACATGCTCGTGCAATCAGTTAGCAAAAACTGATAAAAACAAATACCACATATTTGTTACCAAGTTTTGAAGAAGAAATCGGGGTATCACATGTATGCAACACTGGTGGCAAATGTGTTGACCAAAATTTAATCTTACATTCGCGGTCTTGGCAGCGATGCAGAGGGTTTATTTCTCATTAAGACGGTTCGCATAGGACAGAGGAGGGCGCAGAGTAGAGCCCGTCTAAAAGTGTTACCGTGGACGGACTTAAGGTAGGTGAGGAGATGGCGCACCTCCGTGAAGAGGCTGATATTCTCCTGAGTGGCCAACTCGCGGCGGCACCGCACGAAGCGACGCACCAAGGTACCCATCAGGCTAGAGATGATTACGCCCTCTGCACCCCGCGTGCCCTCTCCCGTGAAGGACTGGCCAAAGCTGTTGTGGTAGCTCCATTTCTCCGAGGAACCTGTGGTTGGATAAAAGGTGTTCTCTTAAGTCCTCTTCACCTTCATATGACTGCATTTCCGGTAATGTTTTTCACGGTTAGATTAACTAGATCTGTCAAGAGATAAATTTGCAATGTGCATACAATTGATAGGTTGATATACCATCATCGA